GATTATCTCTGGTTGTACTTGATCCTTATTGCTTGATTTAATTTAACTAGATCTCAGTTGATATACTGATGAGAACGAATTTATTCCAGGTTCTTTCACTTTCCATTATCGTAGTAGTATTTAACTATTTATTTAGAAACGTATCTATATTTTCAAGGTCATAATATTCTAGATAAAACTCTGGTTCGTTTGCGATGTTTTCAACCAAATTTTATACTGGAAAAAAAATGGCTCAACGTTTTTACCATTTTTTTATCATAAAATCTTTGAAATACGATTACTACTAAGCAATCATTTTGTTGTACTTATTCTAGAAAGGTTGTATGATGTTTAAAGCAAGAAAACAACGTATATTGTATTGTATTGTACTGTATTGTTTAAAATGATCTACAAAATGCATTATCCCTACTTAGAACGATAAGGAATTTAAAAAATGACGCAGATAAAAACACAACACTCGCATCTCTAAATTAAATGATTTGAACGAAATTCCACAGGATTACGTGGCGTAATTAGGTCAATTTGTGTGAGACAGTTCCCATTAATCTGCTCTAGACTGTACTTTATCATCATGCACTGGAAATGTAAACAGACTTGGCCTGGAGTTATTTAAAACTATTACAGCCATTTACTAATACTAATCTTATCTGTTAGACAAATAAAAGTATTTTAACGAGAACTTAATAGGTAAAATCGAGGTTAGGATGAAAAATTCCAACTAAACTATGTTCATAGAACGCGTGGTTCAATGTAAATTTTCAATTGTCATACTGTAAATACTGAGGATAGACCCTCCATACTGGGTTATCTCTTTTGTTTTGAACAGCAATCATACTTGAATATTCATTAAAACTATTTCTATCTAATTTTGAAAGTGTGTGATCGGTTAAGTGCATTATTAAGTTTATTATCTTATACCATTTTTTAATTCTAGAGCTGCTGAACATCATTTGAAAATACTTTTTTCATTAAGATCTTAGCAGGAGGGTATGAATTATGAGCAGTTGAATTATAACATTATCCTAAGTTTGAACAATATTTATTTGTAATCTTTTCACTTTACATAATAAAGTACATTACATAAAATTTACGGATTGAGATGGAAGCTTAAAAAGCTTCTTAGTTCATTATTCTTCTTTCATATGACTAGAATAAGAATTCTGGCAAGGAGGCATCCCTCGGCTGCAATGATTTCTTCTTTCTTTTTATAAGTGCAATATCTCCTACGCCCTCAGCACCGGCATAAACTATCTCTACTCCTCAACAATTATCAATTATCAGCGGATTTTTGTAATGACATAATTACACCTGTTCCCATTATTGTTTAATGTCTGCTCCCTGTTTATACAATTTCCGGTTGTTTACTTTAAATAATTGATTTTTCAAACAGTTCCGCCTGGAAAAACTAACATTGATTTATTTGCCAATAAATGTCTGAGCAAAAATTTTTTTCTAGATTAAACTCTAAATTCGAGCCACGATCATTTTGCGAGTTAGAACATCTGAATAAAACAATATTTTCAAAGTTAGGCAAATAATTGAAAAAAAAATATAATGGCGATTCACTCGAAACGATGCAAATATTTACTATTAACGGTAAAAAAAAACAAATATATTTTACTTTTTCAGCATAATTCTTTCAGCCTTTTCAATAAGATGTCATTTTAATTATTATTTTATTTTTATTTATTTATTTATTTATTTATTTATTTATTTATTTATTTATTTATTTATTACTGGGGAGGGACTACAAATTATACTATAAATATCTAATGTGTTTAAAGGGCAACGTCAATAATTTTCTTTACCATTTAAAAAGATCAGAAACACGCTAAAGATGTAATTAAACACACTCAATTGATATTCAAATCACCCGTTACTAAAACCTAGTCTTTGAATCTATTTATATAATGTTTCGTTATCGTTTCCTTCCAAAAAAATTGAGAATGTTTGTAAATTGATTATTACGGCGGATTGGCATGAAGAGTTTTAGACAAGTAGATGCTATCAAAATAACATCAGTCTGTCTAAGTTACACTGAATATCATTCAAATGTAATGATTAAATTTATCTTATTCTACCTGATTGCAAACTTGTCTTGTAAACTTTGAGTTTAATATGTTTCTATTTTTTCTTTGAATTGTATGATATTCGTGTATACTTTTACAGTTATATGAATACATTTTGAGTTACACGAATACTTTTTGTGTTACATGAATACATTTTTAGATGAATAACTTTTATGTTACATACATAAATTTTCTGTCAAATGAATATCTTTTCTGTTACATGAATACATTTTGCTTTAAGACACTTAGGCACTATATATCAAACAAGTAACAAAATTCTGTTACAAAATTAGTTTGTTTAAAAATACAATATAAAATATGACATTTTTTAATGGATAATTTTCAATTACAAATTAGTAAAACTTTTTATCATCTGGGGCATGTAATGGGTAATTAATTTGCTAGATGTACCAAATGAGAAAAAAGTTTTCAGAGATTAGAAAGAGCTTAAGGTATGCAGTGTTAAGGTATATCAAAATCAAAGATTGCAATGATGAAGTTTAGGAAGTAATGAACCGATAAATATATTGATATTTTTCTGCAATTTGGGCATGACACCGTGAAAAATATTAGTTTAATGATTGAACATACGATCTGTTGCAGTCACTCCTATTACGTAATCTCGACGGAATAATCGAATTTCCAGGTATATTGTCGATATCAAATATTTACACTGAGAACAAACATATGTTGAATTTTCTTATTTTAGGAAAGATGAAACGTTTTTACGGTGTTTTTTTTTCTATTTTGTTTTGTTGATTTCTTCTGAGAATATTGAATATTTTTGTAACTTCAAACATTTCAAATAGTTTACCAACATAGTCTTTATCGGTGCTCTGTTGATAATTAATTGAGTTCAGAACTTATTCGTATGATTAGTCTGGAAATGAAGTACTTAAAATAATTGAAGATGGTCTAAGTGATTTTAGAAATCTTTTAGATGTTATCAATATATTGCGATCTATCCTTAAATGGTATATTGAAGTTTAATATCTTTCTGATTTCCTACTAATACAATAATGCTCAGTCAGTCTATTCATTTTTTTTTTCTTCTTTTTTTTTTTTTTTTTTTTTTTGAATATTATAGATTTATCGCACAATTTAACTTAACCGTTAAACCTGCTGGAACCGGAAATTATAAGCTTTTGCTGACAGTAAGGTTCCACAACAGCTTGTTTATCCATGCTGTCTGACCATGTATTTTGGCTAACTTAAGTTCTTGGACTTGGTTTTCTCCAAAAATGATAATGGACATTTTGAAAACTAGAAGTGGGACAAATCAGTTAAATAAAATCTTTAGGCCAAAGGGTTAAATTCCATTCTTTGGAAATGATTCACATTCTCAATTACACTAATTTCCTGCAATTATGGATACATTAGGTAGATCTTCATTCTGTCAGTATGATTCAATCGCTAAAGGTCGGCATGAACTAGGTGGGAAGAAAGAGAAAGCTGTTACATACAAATCTTTGGGGGAAAAATGATGCATGATGTGATGTGATAAAAGAAGAAATTTGCTAAAAATACACATAATAACATTGAATTTTGCAGTTTTATTTGAAAAAAAAAACAACTTTTGTTTGTTTGTTTGGTTTTTACGGCGCACTAACACGGTTCAGGTCATTTGCCGCCGAAATGGAATGATGATTTTGGCTAACCCCTTAAGGTAACATATGAGGTCATAACCACCTAACCTGCTGGAGCTAAGAGGTGCAAAGACTCAAGTTATTCAATCCCATTTAGTCGCCTCTTACAATCAGGTAGGGGTAAACTGTGGCTGCAATTTTGATGCCTCAACCTTAAAGGCAACCAACAGCCAGAAGGATATTTTAAAAGTCATATTGTTACCGTTTAAATGACGTGCGTATTAAAACGGGTAAGATGCAGTCAGTTACAGCAAAACGTTGGAAATATTAGAACTTGCTTTGTGGAACAGTGGTACATATTCAACATTTCACAGCATTATTCTTCTATATAGTATTTAAACGTTTTGAAACCAATGAAAATTATTTGATATTGTTTAATTTAATAAATAAAAAATGTTTTAAGATCTTTACAAATATTACATTACCTGCTCATAAATGTTTGTTATCGACATGGTACATTTCCGCGCGAAATATATTAATTAATTAACTAACAGAATATCATTGCAGCCAAGTTTTCCACCCTGATACATCCCGAATGAACAAGAATGTTAAAACGTTATCAAATTACATTATGTCTTACTTTTACTCATTTGAAAGATGCGGGAAAAGACAAAGCGGCTGAAGACAGTTCTCATGAATGGCTAATTAGGCAATGTTCTGCTCTTTCTCCAACTTCAGACTGCACCATTTAAAACCACTTTTCGCTCTCATAAATTAGATTTTACGTCTCAAATCATCTATATCTCTTCACAACATGCTTTAATGTCACTTACAGAAAACCTATCTTCAGATGCATTTAAATCTATTTTGTATTATCATGTATGTTATCAAGTAAACTGCAACAAAATTGATACAAGTATGTTTATGCACCAAACTGGGTAATGCGTGTCTGGGCGTCCTATGATGTTGCCAATATTTTTATCTTAATGCGTGTCCCAGTTTTGTTTTTTTTTTTTTTTTTTTTTTTTTTTTTTTTTTTTTTTTTTTTTTTTTTTTTTTTTTTTTTTTTTGTTTTGCTTAATTATAGTAAACTTTTCCTTTCCGTGATACGATTGTGTCTGCTGTTCGGGTCTTACTTCTCAATAACTAATTAAACTGAGATCTGTCATTTCATACCAAACCAAACCATTTATGAAATATAAAAGCCTTAACTTTAAAATGTAACGGCTTTACATTTTGCTTTTTATTTCCTGTATCCATAGATGTTGAAATAACACGTTTATTTTGGCAATTTCTAATGATTAAAAACTTAAGTAAACTTAAGACTTATATTTTGTATTTTCAGAAGAATATGTTCAAACGAATGCACGAAATGGACACCAAAAGAATGCTGGAATGGTTACTTAAAAAGGTAATTATATTTTTTTTTCTTAAATCTGGTAATGTGAGGTCATTTAAAAAAATTTGTTCTTTTCGACAGGCATTTTTAAGATACTTTTTCAGGAAAAGTCTATCTCTAATGTAATCCAAGGAGATGTTCCATTCTTTTGATAATGTATACATTTCAAAAATTATCTTGTTATGTTTTAGAGAGCCATTCTTTTGTTACATTTTCTCACAGTAAGCACATTTTGTTGTTCTAAACAGTTACATTGTTCGGGGTTCCTAATGCTTTTTTTCGTGATTTAGCCACACGTTCTGTTGATTATGCAAACTTTATTAAAGTACATTTGCTTTTACCACTTTTTTCGTGTTGCATCATACCAAATTATTTGTACATAATTATACATAATATAAGTAATAACACTTTTTTTCTAGTATATTTTTAAATTAACTTCTGTTTCAACTTAAATTTCGACTAAAGCACAATATTTCAATATTCGTATAATACCAGTAGGTGTTTGTTCTATGAATTCTTACCAGTTCATGATAATACTTATCGACAAAATCTTTTTTTCACATTTGTTGTACAACATTATTTTTATGCCCCCATTTTGAAAAAAAGGGGGTATATTGCTTTGCACTTGTCGGTCCGTCGGTCCGTCGGTCCGTCGGTCCGTAGACCAAATGGTTTCCGAGTGATAACTAAAGAACCCTTAGGCATAGGAACTTCAAACTTGGTATGGTGATTGGTCATGACCAGTAGATGACCCCTATTGATTTTGGGGTCAAGGGGTCAAAGGTCAAGGTCACATTGACCTTGAAAGCAAAAACGGTTTCCGATCAATAACTAAAGAACCTTAAGGCCTAGGAACTTCAAACTTGGTATGGTGATTGGTCATGACCAGTAGATGACCCCTATTGATTTTGGGGTCAAGGGGTCAAAGGTAAAGGTCACATTGACCTTGAAAGCAAAAACGGTTTCCGATCAATAACTAAAGAACCTTAAGGCCTAGGAACTTCAAACTTGGTATGGTGATGACCAGTAGATGACCCCTATTGATTTTGGGGTCAAAGGGTCAAAGGTCAAGGTCACATTGACCTTGAAAGCAAAAACGGTTTCCGATCAATAACTAAAGAACCTTAAGGCCTAGGAACTTCAAACTTGGTATGGTGATTGGTCATGACCAGTAGATGACCCCTATTGATTTTGGGGTCAAGGGGTCAAAGGTCAAGGTCACATTGACCTTGAAAGCAAAAAACGGTTTCCGATCAATAACTAAAGAACCTTAAGGCCTAGGAACTTCAAACTTGGTATGGTGATTGGTCATGACCAGTAGATGACCCCTATTGATTTTGGGGTCAAGGGGTCAAAGGTCAAGGTCACATTGACCTTGAAAGCAAAAACGGTTTCCGATCAATAACTAAAAGAACCTTAAGGCCTAGGAACTTCAAACTTGGTATGGTGATTGGTCATGACCAGTAGATGACCCCTATTGATTTTGGGGGTCAAGGGGTCAAAGGTCAAGGTCACATTGACCTTGAAAGCAAAAACGGTTTCCGATCAATAACTAAAGAACCTTAAGGCCTAGGAACTTCAAACTTGGTATGGTGATTGGTCATGACCAGTAGATGACCCCTATTGATTTTGGGGTCAAGGGGTCAAAGGTCAAGGTCACATTGACCTTGAAAGCAAAAACGGTTTCCGATCAATAACTAAAGAACCTTAAGGCCTAGGAACTTCAAAACTTGGTATGGTGATGACCAGTAGATGACCCTATTGATTTTGGGGTCAAGGGGTCAAAGGTCAAGGTCACATTGACCTTGAAAGCAAAAAACGGTTTCCGATCAATAACTAAAGAACCTTAAGGCCTAGGAACTTCAAACTTGGTATGGTGATTGGTCATGACCAGTAGATGACCCCTATTGATTTTGGGTCAAGGGGTCAAAGGTCAAGGTCACATTGACCTTGAAAGCAAAAACGGTTTCCGATCAATAACTAAAGAACCTTAAGGCCTAGGAACTTCAAACTTGGTATGGTGATTGGTCATGACCAGTAGATGACCCCTATTGATTTTGGGTCAAGGGTCAAAGGTCAAGGTCACATTGACCTTGAAAGCAAAAACGGTTTCCGATCAATAACTAAAGAACCTTAAGGCCTAGGAACTTCAAACTTGGTATGGTGATTGGTCATGACCAGTAGATGACCCCTATTGATTTTGGGGTCAAGGGGTCAAAGGTCAAGGTCACATTGACCTTGAAAGCAAAAAACGGTTTCCGATCAATAACTAAAGAACCTTAAGGCCTAGGAACTTCAAACTTGGTATGGTGATTGGTCATGACCAGTAGATGACCCCTATTGATTTTGGGGTCAAGGGGTCAAAGGTCAAGGTCACATTGACCTTGAAAGCAAAAAACGGTTTCCGATCAATAACTAAAGAACCTTAAGGCCTAGGAACTTCAAAACTTGGTATGGTGATTGGTCATGACCAGTAGATGACCCCTATTGATTTTGGGTCAAGGGGTCAAAGGTCAAGGTCACATTGACCTTGAAAGCAAAAACGGTTTCCGATCAATAACTAAAGAACCTTAAGGCCTAGGAACTTCAAACTTGGTATGGTGATTGGTCATGACCAGTAGATGACCCCTATTGATTTTGGGGTCAAGGGGTCAAAGGTCAAGGTCACATTGACCTTGAAAGCAAAAACGGTTTCCGATCAATAACTAAAGAACCTTAAGGCCTAGTTACTTCAAACTTGGTATGGTGATTGGTCATGATCAGTAGATGACCCTATTGATTTTGGGGTCAAGGGGTCAAAGGTCAAGGTCACATTGACCTTTTAATTATAAACGGTTTCTGATCAATAACAAAAGAACCCTTAGGCCTAGGATCTTCAAACTTGGTATGGTGATTGGTTATGACCAATCAGATGACCCCTATTGATTTTGGCGTTAAGGGGTCAAAGGTCAAGGTCACATTGACCTTGTAGGTAAAAATGGTTTCCGATCAATAATGAAAGTACCCTTAGGCCTAGGGACTTCAAACTTGAGATGGTGATCGGTCATGATCAGTAGATGACCCCTATTGATTTTGGGGTCTAGGGGTCAAAGGTCAAGGTCACATTGACCTCTTAGGTAAAATCGGTTTCCGATCAATAACTTAAGAAACCCTTAGGCCTAGGGACTTCAAACTTGGTATGGTGATTGGTCATGACCAGCAGATGACCCCTATTGATTTTGGGGTTTAAGGGTTTAAAGGGCAAGGTCACATTGACCTTGTAGGTAAAAATGCTTTCCGATCAATAACTTAAGAACCCTTATGCCTAGGAACTTCAAACTTGGTATGGTGATTGGTCATGACCAGCAGATGACCTATTGATTTTGGGGTCAAGGGGTCAAAGGTCAAGGTCACATTGACCTTGTAGGTAAAAAACGGTTTTCCGATCAATTAACTAAAAACGCTTAGGCCTAGGAACTTCAAACTTTGTGTGCTGATGATTGGTCATGACCAGCAGATGACCCCTATTGAGTTTTAGGTGAAGGGGTCAAAGGTCAAGGTCACATTGACCTTTTAAGTAAAAAACGGTTTCTGATCAATAACTCAAGAACGCTTAGGCCTAGGAACTTCAAACTTGGTATGGTGATTTGTCATGACCAGCAGATTACTCCTATTGATTTTGGGATCAAGGGGTCAAAGGTCAAGGTCACAATGACCTGTAAGTTAAAAACGGTTTTCTGATCAATAACTAAAGAACGCTTCCCGGCCTAGAAACTTCAAACTTGGCATAGTGATTGGTCATGACCAGCAGATGACCCCTATTGATTTTGGGGTCAAAGGTCAAGGTCACATTGACCTTGTATGTTAAAACGGTTTCCGATCAATAATAAGAGAACCCTTAGGCCTAAGAACTTCAAACTTGCATGGTGATTGGTCATGACCAGCAGATGACCCCTATTGATTTTGGGGTCAAGGGGTCAAAGGTCAAAGTCACATTGACCTTGTAGGTAAAAACGGTTTCTGATCAATTTACTAAAAACGCCTAGGCCTAGGAACTTCAAACTTTGTATGATGATTGGTCGTGACCAGCAGATGACCCCTATTGAGTTTTGGGTCAAGGGGTCAAAGGTCAAGGTCATGACCAGTAGATACTTTATAACCCTTATTAATTGTTTGATCACTGGGTCAGAAGTCATGCATAATAACCTTATCACATGACTAATTGGCTGCTGATAGGGGGCATACATGTTTTACAAACATATCTTGTTTTTTTATTTACAGAAAAGAATGGAAAATGGTCTGCGAAAAACAGGAAATAAAATGTTGTCCCGGATATAAGGGTCCAAATTGTGAAGAAGGTATTATTCTAACAAAATTGATTGAAATTAAATTTAGCATGAGCCTTCCAGTTTTCAATGATAAAGTTCTTAAAAGAAAATCATAATTGATCATTGCACATTGTTCACAATGAGGAGTTTTTACTTTTATGTGTGACGTTGACCTTTTTGCTTGAGACCAAAAATATTTTAAGTACGACACGTCATGTTTGTATTATAAAATTCATCAATGACTGGCATGATTGTTCAACAGACAAGAATGTAAAATAACTTTAATGAAAAATAACTTAAAATTGAAGTTTAGCCTTAGCTTAGAGTTTTTAGCTTTAAAATGTTAGTATTATGCGCTATTGTACATTCTTTGCTTTCTTCATTTCAGAATGCTTTAACTGTGATAAAATAAACGTTATTGAAAGAAGATTTGTTGAAATATATGGAAAAGTAAGTATCAAGGATTTCTGTAACATGTTACAATATTTCCTCTATAATATATGAACAAGTGTAATATGAAGAGGTATAGCACTTTAAAAAAACAGGTTGAAAAAAAAGCATCGATATCAAAAATAAAATATGTTTTAACCCAGCCAGTAAAACTAAAAATGGTTGATATCTAAAAGTGTGTTAAGATAAACATATCTAATCAGACGAGATAATTTTTCATCACATATATTTTATATCGGCTGTTTAACATCAACATTGTAACGAATTTCATCAACCACTGGTTAAGTTTATTTGCTAAATTTTATCACGATCGACCTGGAATTTACCTGAAACGTTCTTGACTTGATTCTATTTTAGATGTCTCGTAATAACATCAAATATTTGTTAAAATACGAGATAATATATAGAAAAACAATTTCTTTTGCGATTTAAAAAGGTTGGTTACATTTTTAAATATGATGAAAATCAAATTTTTAAACCAAGTATGACTTTTTGTTGCCAATAATACGATGTTTTATACTGAGGTATCTACCCATTATTATTAGTTATAAAGATTATGAAAGGTTATATGGTCCTTTATAAACGATTTTTTGCATATATAACCCCGACCCGTAAGGCGATGGTTATATTGCAGAAACTGTTTATATACTGTCATATAACCTGTCAGGAATCTTTATAACAAATTTATACAGCAAACTTCCTTCTTTTGAGAGAAAGTAAGTTTTCTCCGTAAATTGACAGAAGACGTGTATATAAAACTTTATAATACTGCACGTTTGTAACGTCATTTTTCATTGGATAATCGTGACGTTTATATTATTAGTTATAAAGATCGTTGACAGGTTATATGTCCCTATATAAACGGCTATTTGTAAATATAACCCGAGCCGTTAGGCAGTATTGTAAAGTATATACGTGCAGTATTATAAAGTTTTATATACAGGGCTGCTGTAGATTCATGAAGAAATCTTACTTTTTTCTCTAAAAATGATGCTTGCTGTATTATAAATTCGTTATAAAGATTGTTGGCAGGTTATATGGCCGTATATAAACGGCTGTTTGCAATATAACCCTCGCCTAACGGCTGGGGTTATATTTACATATAGCCGTTTATATAGGGGCATATAACCTGTCAACGATCTTTATAACTAATAATATAAACGTTATGATTATCCAATGGAAATTTGCAGTATTTTAAGGAGAGTAACATCCACTTGCAGCTGTAAAGCGTTGTGTGGCCGCTGTAATAATGCACCGTACTTCATTCACCTCTGTACTGTTATGTTTTTTTTTCTGGACTTCCGGGATGATTGATTCCAAAACTTTCAAGATTAAATAAAACGAGAGCCGATTCTGAGGGAGTGAAAATGTGTGACTTTCCATTCTCTCTCAAGAACAGACTGCATAAAATCGATATGTTCGCATATTTATTATTGCAGTTATTTTTGTTTAAATTGCTTTTGAAGAACCCCACCCTTTACCTTCCAAAAAAAAGAAAGAAAAGAGCATTAAATAAGTTTTTTTTCGACTAATTGGCTAAAATGTTTATAAGATTATCCATGATTATAAGAACGTGCTCTTCCATGTTATTACTTATTCTTTTTTTCCAAATCATTTTAGTACCAGAGCTGTAACATCATCTTATCTGAACCCAGCATGTTTTTCTATATTTTACCTTTGTTATCGCATTCATTACAGAAACTCATTTATTTCAAGTATCTCGGGTATCTTTGACAGAATAAATAATTTTATGTCTGCTTTATAATCATTAATAACCGTAACTTCGACGAGAAGTTAAATGCATTATAATTTGGTATAACATTATCATATTCGAATCTTTTGAGAATCTCTAAAAGATGAGTTTTATGAAATGAGGTTCAGATAAGATGTTAAAACTAAAACACACGTTATGGTTGATTTCTACCAGAATTATGACGCCGCACCGCTAGTCCTGTACGATAATAACTCTATTACCTTTAAGCCGTCAGTATTGACGTCACTAGTTGGCTAAAATGGTCACTGTCTATGGTTCTTTCGTATAAGTACGGTTAATCATATTTTGATTCTTTGTCTAAAATAGTTTTAGTTTAGAAGATGAAAATAAATGAAGAGAAATCTATCATTCCATTTTCAGATAAAAACTTTAGAAGACACATGCACAAATAGAACTGTTATCATAAATGGCAGTACAAATGGAGACACCGGTGGTAAAATAACACAGAACTGCACATGTCCGGCAGGACCACGTGGTTATCGTGGACCTGAAGGTGATGCTGGACCACCTGGTATTCCGGGCAGACCAGGTGCCCAAGGACCTCAGGGACCAGCTGGCGATCAAGGTCCTCCTGGTCCACCGGGGGCTCAGGGTTTGAATGGCTTGCCCGGGCAAAAAGGTGAGAGAGGTTTAGTCGGACTACCTGGGTACAAAGGGGAACAAGGAGAGTTAGGTTCTCCAGGATTGCCTGGTCGAGATGGTAGGCCTGGACAAAAAGGGAACCCAGGACTTGATGGTCTTACTGGACCACAAGGTCCGCCAGGTCAACCAGGGTTACCTGGCGCAGCGAGTGCCAAAGGTGAAATTGGGCTGCCAGGTTTACCTGGACGTGATGGAGCTAAAGGAGAGCCTGGTTATCCTGGAGATGGAGGACGTCCAGGGTTCGATGGAATACCAGGACCACAAGGAAGGAAGGGGGAGCGTGGAGATGTTGGTCCTAAGGGAGACGTTGGTCTACCAGGTCTTCCAGGTGAAAGCGGTGACCCTGGAATTCCAGGCAGTCCTGGACCTATTGGCCCACCTGGGCTTGATGGACGATCGGGTCAAAAAGGAGCACCTGGGCTCCCTGGAAGTGATGGCCGACCTGGTGATATAACAAAAAGTAAGTTTTATGTCCATATTGTGCTTTTCCCAGCATAAGATACAGGCACTGTCGTGTTAATATAAATATTGAAGTTTATCATTTATATGATACATAAGGAAACTAAGTAAATACCCACAAAAAATAACATATTAACATTTATGCGATTTCTACTGAGATATGTATTTATCCTTTAATTATTATTCTTTTTGGAAAAGGAATAAGTTTAATACAGATTACCTACAGAAGATTTTAATCATCAATTATCTGTTCGCTTATCAGTTGAATCCACCAGGAAAAAAATAATGTTTGAAACAAACTGTCTCGACCATGTTATCATTCATACACTTTTGGCACCTGATAAAATTATATAGGTTTTTGTGCCGTATTGAATGTTTCATATTTTGTCGCTTTTTTGCAGTTGAAGAGAGCAGAATAATCCAAGAAATGCAAAACACTATACAGGTAAGTTTTATGTGTGATATGTGAATGATGATATAAATAATTAACACAGTAGTGAAGAGTCTCTTTAAAAGAACATAATTACTTTCGTTAAAACTTTAACTGCCGAATGTTTTCTTACAAGCAAAAAGCCAAATTATGCTGAGTAGTAATGACGTTGGCGACAAAGGGGGAAAGGAAACGTAACTCTTTTAAGTGCCCAATATTATTTTTTTGCGTCAGGTTATATAGATAGACATGTATTTCTTTTAATAAAACTGAGTCAAAAGCATTTCCATTTTGTATTGTTGAACGATTGTTAAGGTTTTCACCATTTTCTCTTGAAAATCTACATTTTTATATGGCATTACCTCATATAAAGTTTGGCCTCACTTATTGGCGTCCGCGCCGAAGCGCGGCGCACTTATGGAATGAAATCAGATTTTGTGAATGGGCGACAGCAACTTCTCGAGCCTTTAAGCCTGTCATAATAAAAGCCGATCATTCCGATCGGTGATTAAAAAAATGTCTCGATATGTACAATGAATAGCGAACTGGAGAATTTCGCAATGCATGAACTCTTCGTTTTTTTACTTATCATTTTGTAGTACACAGTGGGTTATTATGGTATGTTAAAATAAAATGATGTGTTGATGACCTAAATATTCCGAAAATCTATTTATAGAGGGATGTACTGCTATCGGTAATTCCCGGTCTCCGGGATTTACTAGTGAATCACACGTTTATTGTCCGGTTTTGGGTATCGTTACAGAACAGAACAAATATTTTACAGATAAATAAGCTTTTTTCCAAAATGAATGTTTGTCACTTAGTTTGGTTACAATAATTAATAAATACAGATCAACTCTCAAATTTATTGATTATTATTATTATACATAAACATACAATTCGAAAAAAAACCAACAACAACAATAGCATGTTTTATTTAACCTATATGAGATAAAAACAATAAATATGTGCAATAATTCAGAAAATGGTACATTTTATGGTATTAATATGACACTATCAACTTTGAAACATTTTATTTAATTTGTTATTCGTGTTTAGTAAAGATGCCGAGGAATTATTAAAAGTTACAAATTAGATTTTATGAATTATTCAATTGATTGATAATTTAAAAAATGATAAAGTAATATACAAATGTACATGTACATTGTTTAAGAATAAACAATATTATATTTTGAAAGATTAAGCATAATTTACTGACTTTTTCCAGTTAAGTTTTGACTTATAATCGTCGGTCAATATGACAATTGAATTCTTAAAATTTATTTTACAATTTTGATAAAAAAAAGAGTAGTAAACGTAAAAACTCAGTATTAAAATAGCACATTAAACACAAAAAAGAGAGGAAAACAATATTCATAAAATCTGTATTTTTTTTATTAAAATAGATATTACAATTATTGTATAATAAACAATTATGCTCAACATGATCAACATGGTAATATAACCAGTGTCATATTTTTACTAAGTGTGAACAGATACCTTATATTTTTAAGAGAGGGTCTTCGCTAATAGCGATAACATAATAAGAGACAATTCCACAAGTGTGGTGTTGATCATGCGTTACACATATGGATTATAAATGATGGTATACATGTATATCCGTTGCTATTAATAATCACGATCATAAAGAAATAACAAGTAATATTCTAATCTCTAGCATGCCAATCAAAGTTCATAATGAACAATGTCTTTCGTCCGTTCATTCTGGTAAAAACAAATTAACCATTGAAAAGTTTATAAGAATATTCTGTCATCATATGTCTACTAGTTCATCTTCATTTTCTGTATTTCTTGTTTGGACGCCCTTTGATGCTTTGCATCAATGCTTTTCTTGTTATCATTGAACCCAGTTCAATTATTTTTGATTTTATACCTTGTGTAATATTTCTTAGAACCTCGTTACCAGACTGGAAACAACGACAAAAGAAGTTCTAGAGTTGAAACGTACGTGCAGCAAGGTCATAAGTAAGTAATATTTACTTAAAAGCCCAATTAGCCGCAAAGTTTTTAAATTATAATTCTCAAAATGTTTAAAAATTCAGACAGTTTACAAAAGTTACTTATTGGCCAAACAGCTGAACCATATTTCTGATTCGTTTTGGCAAATTGTTAATTTATAGTGATTTGGTATTTTGTATGGAAGCCAATGTTTACATTTTGCTATTAATTATATGAAATTATTTCATATTTAGTTGTATTATCTTTAAGTGATATAACATGCTTTAAGTGTCCATAATTTATACATTACACAAATCAAGTTTGCAAACATTTACAAAGAAGGACAAAAGTCTTCATTTCTGAGGAATAACGTGCTTTTAAGAAAACAAAATCGTTTTAAAATGTGTATATATCATTTCAATGGTTTATATGATTACCTGATTGTCTTTAAAGATCCTGTATGTTTTGTAATTGAGATTGCATACCACTCTTCATTAAATTATATATGAAATCAATGTAATTATGCAAATTGATCAATTTTCAAACAAGAATATGTAAAATATGTATTGCAAATATTTGTACATATTTAAGGATATCATTAAATTATATGCATTCATTTCTTATTGAAAAAATTGACTTAGAAGTTATAGAAAACAAAATTCTAATTACCTCCCTTTATTTACATGAAATATTAAATTCGGTAATATCTTTATAAATAATGTTTTTTCGAACTTACAATATCGATAAATCTTAATTTGAGCATCATAATTTGTATATAAAACCATGAAAATAATGTGTTACAGGATCTTTAATGAGAAAATTGAAATTGTTTTATTTTAAAAAAAGTGTTTTATTAATTTATTAATAGCATGTACAAACATTTGTATAATCGTTTCAAGGCTTGATTTAAATTTATTTCTTTTAAGTATATATGCTTCACTGCATTTCAGAAGAAAGGATATGAAGATCTCATTTAAAATAATATAAACCATCACAATAAATACAAGACCAATTATTATAACTAATGAAGAGCTTGCCAGACTCACTCATTCGTTCCAATTTTCCTTAAGGTTGCCAGTTCAACTGCACGGCTGACAGTTTTAAATGCAGCTGCGGGATGTGTATACCTCAGAAGTTCCGTTGTGACGGCTTCCCTCAATGCCCAGATGGATCTGACGAGCTTGAAAGTGATTGTGGTATGATAATACATGTATATATTGTTGAGCAAATCATTGTCGCGGTTATTTGTTTACTTTTTTGTTTTACATATATACGCACAAATCATCAAATACATTGATCTTAATAATACACACATTAGTGGAATATACTAGTAGATATTATGGTTTTGATAAGATAAATTGCTTCTATGTAAACTTTAAACATAACTAGCATATCAGTCTAGTGAATTTTTGGTAGAAATTTAAGGTAAAATCTTGGTAGGAATCCTCTGTGACTGAATGGTTAATGATGCATTTGCCCCTTGCCATTGTGGGTTCGAATCTCGCTATAGTATAGGGACGAATGTTGACTCTTTCCTGTGAGGAATCTTTCCAGCTACTCAGGTTCCCGTTCATGCACGATGGGATACGTACGATCTTCCTCCAAAGCTGTTAATTCGACTATGACATTTAAAAAGTTTCAGTTTTACTTAAAACCAAAGTGTAGAAATCATTATATACTAATATAAACCTATTAATATGATAATTGATTTACAGACTACATCTGTTCTGAAGACGAATTTAAGTGTGAATCGTCGGGATATTGTATACCACTCAACGATAAGTGTAATGGAAAAGCAGACTGTTCCGACGGATCCGACGAAAGTGTCAAAAACTGCAATATAAGTGAGAATTAACAATTAGTTATTTAAGATGAAAAAGAATGATTGATTAGAATGAATGAATATTGCCAAGGTCAAACATGTTCTGAACAAAACATCCGAATACAGACATAATTACAGGCGTATTACAAGCGGTCACGGTTTTAGATTATCTTTCACTCAAAAGCAATGAAATTTTAACTTATTTTGTTGGAAGATGGTCAAGAACTACAATTTTTCTTTTAGCCATTGACAGGGTTTGATAATGAATAGTTAATTGAGTAATTTCATGTTTAGAAATGTAAACTGAAGTATTTTTGTTTTAATCTAGACTAATAAACTCTCTACACTTTTTTTAATAAAAAAAGAGGTTCAAAATGTATCGAGCTATTTCAGTTGTAATGCACATGCAATTTTCATAACAAAAACAACTTTTGCAGACATGTAACATCATAGAAGAGGCCATTTCTTTACATCGTAAGAGATAATTGCCATACAATCATACCGAATTATTCCTGGATACCAACACAAACCACATCTAAATGACCATTCATTCTTGGACATGACATCACGAACCCAATGATTACACTACATTATCTCTTTTTCGTTTTCCAGCTATTAACTGTAATGAAGGCAATGTTCCATGTAGGGATGGGTCAAAGTGTGTAAGACGCGAGGAAAGATGTGACCGGAAGGAAGATTGTCCGGACGGAAGTGACGAGGAAAATTGTCGTAAGTTATATTAGCTGCCATTTTGAATTTGAAAAAAAATAGGTTCACTGGTAATTTATCAAAATAAAATAAGTTTAATGAACCAATACTTGTACGATTTGAATTGTTTAGACTTGTTTCGAATTAAGATAGCATTTTAGCAAATAAACGTTCCGTTTACAACGTTGGTGAAGTCAAAGATGTATGATTTGTTAAGTTATATCGATAACGCTCCACGATCATCGTCGGATACCCATGGCCGAACCATTAACATTGATTGCATGTTATGTGACATGTTCATCAATCGTGGGTATCCGATGATGCTCCATGATTAAACCTGCCATATAAATCTATTTTGAAAGGACTGGTTCATACAATACTATGTATTACCCAGTATACTATATCTTATTGTTTGCTAGATGTATGATATTGATATAAAATTGTGTTTATGTTTATATTAATGCACAAGCGCACCTTGGAGTATCTAACGTAAAGTATTTAACGTTTTATTACAAACAAATTTATAGATAATTGATGTTACTTTATGATTTAAGTTTTTAGTTTTGTTGGTTTAAATATTGGAATGTTCGATTTAAACCAAAATTATAAAACTTTTTTTCCTTTTTATATTGGAATATTGTGACACAAATTACTTTTTCTTTCTTTTTTTTTTTTTTTTTTTAAATAACTTTTGGAACTTTTGTGAAAAATAATACGATTGCAATTCGTGAACATTTTAAAGAACCTTGCAATATTTGTATACGTGGTCGTGTATAAAAACAAATGTATTGTAAAGTTAGATAGGTGACGTGGTAAAATGTGTATACGTAGAGATAATTTGTTGGGAAACATTTTTACACATCATACCAAAATGACTACATTCACATCTCACTGTTTCGACCCTTTCGTAAAATTGAAATATTTAAAAGCACAAAGAAATATCAACCCTTAAAGGTAACACTTCAACAAGGGAAAAGAAATGATATTTTACATTTCCGTGTAGAGAAATCATTAAAAAAATATTAATACTGTATTGAAACATACACGATCAAAGCATTGGAACAAATATGACCCCCAACATTAATATACAAAGAACTGTTTTGATAAATAATATTTCTGTTATGATACTGCTGCAACTAAAATGGTTCCCAACGAGCACCAATGTATAATGTCTTGTATTTTGTTTTGTGTTCACGTTTGTATATTTTTGTTTGAACAGCTAAGGGTAAGCGGTTCAGCAAAACCCTTTTCCGTGTATTGTATCTTTTCTAACTTTGCTAGAATTGTAGCCTGCTTGGAATATTGGCCATGAAAGTACGTTTATTCTTAAGCTTAAAATGGTATGCTTTTTTATTTTTTTTCCATTTGGCATTTTTTCTTGATGGGTGGTTCCAATTATCCTAATGAAATATTGTTGAAAAACGCTGTAAGATATGTTGTAAGATATGTTGTCTCCTTTTTGAATTTGTCTTTTGACGTCTTTTTTGTGATATGCAGGCTCCACTTTCAAATTGTGTACCGCCCATTGTTTGCTTGTTTAAGGCACACACAATCTTTTACATGCAGACCATACGCCGCTTTTCATGGAATGTCACGAAAGTGTCACGTTAAAGGTTCAATGATAACCGCTGTATAAACACATCTGCGGATGTTTCTGAATTCAAAATTACACAATTTTCATGTTTGAATATTCAATTCTGCTTATGCAGGTGCAAGGGTGGACGGTAACTTGCATCTTCTAGTACCGTTCATGAACAGACTCAATCAAACAGAGCCTGCAATATTTTCAATTTGTCGTTTGGGGGCGTTCTTTGGGGATTCTGTTTTTCTCTATTGTAAAATGGCCATTTCGCATGTACATCAGATGTCAGGTTTACATACCTTATTTCTATCTTTGCATCATGTATACCTTTTTGCTCTGTTTTTAATTTTATTTAATCTAGAAATATATTATTTTTATTGCAAAGATAAAACTACAGTTAGTGTACTTTAATTTAATTGGATTCCTTGCCATATCAAGGCGTTGCTTAGAATAGTCCTCTCTATGCATGCCCGGTATCGATTCTTCGGTTAAGTTTAAATCACCCCTTGCATACCGACTTCATCTTAAATTATAATTTCATAGTAAGTTTGTTCTTTTTACTTGTATGTGTCACGGTACATACCACATGTCATGTTGGAGAATCCACGTGAAATTTGAACTTTACTGATTGGATTTATTTCCGGAATAAGTTCATCAACCACGACACAGAAAATACTTTATTTGGCTGCTACAAACTTTAAGTGAAGTCTTTGTTATTTTATATAATATTTTCCTAAATGATGTAATCTGCTGGGAGAATCATAATGAATGCACTTTGTGAAAAGCTTTAAAAATCTTCTTCTCCCAAACCCGAATGTCTACAGCTTAGATATTTTGTACGTAGCATTTTCTAGAGGACCTTAATAAACTTTGTTCAAAGCAAAAATTGCCCCGTCTCAGAGTGCCACATGATTTTTCATTAAGTCATATAGGAAAATCGTAATAATGCTTTTCTGCATAAGGCATGGGCATGTATGTAGCATTATAGAATACCACCACCAAATTTATTGCAGTCATGACCTGCCTGCGGTTATAGTTCACACCTCTAGGAGGGCGATCCAGTTACTACTTGGACCATATGCAAATTTTCAGATGACATTTACACATTATTTAAGTTTAGATTTATTTAACATACTTTTTACCCGATACCTTTATTGTAATTTGAGCTACATATATGTGGAACATAGACAACATATTAGATTCTGAATTAATTTTGTATTCAAGCTGACCTACATTCTAACTTGTGTCCACGGGTGACCAATCTACGGACAACTAGTTTCTATTTTTCATAAAAAAAAAATATTTTGCTTTTTTGCTTTAAAAATAGGATCGTATATATTCTTAGCCATAAGTTTCTAGTCATTGTATATTTCAACTATAGCAATTAGCTTAAAACCCTTTCCTAGGTGGAACTGAAAGTGACTAGCCTTTGCCACCAGTATAGAACCAGGTCAGCCTGCCTTCAAATCCGAACATTCTAACCAGACTCTGTACTGTTGGCTGAATAAGTTTAACCTAGAATTTCATCTTTATATTCCTAAATTAATAAATGGACTGTTTAAAAAATGGTAGTTGGAAGGATTCATGAAAGAAATTCATCAGATTAAAAGGTTGGAATAATGATATAATATATCTTATAGCTGACGTTAAAAGTTTGGCATGAAATTATAAATGTTAGCTCGTACTATATAGCATTATAAGTATACAAATATTAATTTAAGACAATTAACTATTTTATATTAATCATTAGGATAGTAAACGTCCGTAGCTTGGCATTTATATAACAACCGTGTGTTTTGGGATACTTTTGTTCTTCCGTCTAGTTGTTGTTAAAATATGTCAAAATCCAACAAAAAATTATACATGTAGTATGGTAAGTAAGTATATTTGGACATGGTAACTATTTGCAAATGTTTGAATTCCAACTATGTTTAAATATGTTGGTAAAATTGGAAGATGAAACAAATGTACACTGTTACTTTACGACTGACGGTTGTTAGTTTAAGACTAAATGCATGCATCAATACTATAAGTAACAGTGCTTGTATAACTTGTGGTGTGTGACCTGTGGAAAACCAATACAAAAGACGGTATAGGTAGTATTTTTTATCCCATACTTCTTTAATATATCATAAGCCCGGTCATTCTAGTCAACTATCCGTTTCATATGAAACATATCAGTATACGTTTCGTAAAGTAAAAAAAATGCATGTATTTCTCCTTGACCAAACACGCAGTTACACAATCCACTGCAAAAATACAGACGTTTTTTCTGTGTGTTTTTTTTTTCTCACACACAAAAAAAACAAACAAGAACATAATTCCCTAGAGTGGACAGACTATACACTTTATCCCATATTAAAAATGTTTAAAAGGTATGGTATAAAGTATTACTTTGACCGTCTTAGGTTTTGATTTTCTGCCCCTCGCAAATCACAAAATGGCAAGTGAAAAGTGCATTTTCATTTTTGTAGACTTATAGTAATTTATTACCAGTTAATGCAGATTTGATTTTTGTTAGTTCAAAAAAGGTTGCATTGAATTACGGCAACAAGCCTACTATATAAGTAAAGTGATCTTTTAAGAATAGTTTAAACACACTGTTGTCCTATTTCTAAAATATGAGCACAAATGCTGGTGATAAGCTTTCCGTTTCAATTTTTTCCAGTTGCAATTTAATTTAGCATAATGTTTTTCATATTCAGAAATTATATTTAGATGTATCTCAAATCAAAAGGTAATAAAGAGCAGATTGTGGTTTTAAGAATTTAGCTCAGATTTCATATAGATAGTCTACTGGTACAAGGTATAATATTTATGCACTTACAGTTTGTGGCAGAAACCAGTTTGAATGTGACACCGGTGACCAGTGTATTGCTGATGATAGGGTCTGTGACAATTTCCCGGACTGTTCCGATGGAAGTGACGAGTTAAACTGTCCAGCAGGTAAAATAACATGATATCCAAACATCATGTTTATGTTCGCCATAAATGTTATACTTTATACCCTATATGCTATCCGGAACTGTCAAATGAGGGTGTGTTTTTTTTTTCAAACTAATCTTCCAGTACATACAATCTTTTACTTTTTTAACTTCATAGTGCACTACCGGCCACAATAGTGACAACCAGTTGTGCTTATTTTTGAAGCTGTAACTGTGTAAAACTTTATTTGTACCCCTGGATTAGCAGGGGAGAAAACAAATCTTAATTCCGGAGTAGGTCTATTCTGTAAAATTTAAGTCATCGCCTTTTCGGTCATCGACTTAAACACAATTCAAAATCCACAATGTGATGTTATTTAAAACGTTTCCTAGAATTTCTTCATTTTTTTGAAAAAAAAACTTACAAACAAACTTTTAGAAAACTGCGTTTTCCTTCTTTGTCTATGTAAAAAAGGAAGAAAATATTGGAAACGCTTTGAAAACAAAAGTTAGAAATTTGAAACAAAGGTTCATATGACAGCGGTGATTGAATATTTGATAAATATCTAAAGGTCCATTATACCTCAGAAATGCTTTTACTTTTACTTCCCACAAGATTTTTATTTATGGTTTCCTTTTATAAAGTTACTCATTGGCGAATTACATAAACCATATTTTGCCTCTGTTACTTTTTGGTAACTAATATGAAATTCTTTATTGAAATGATCAATGACCACTACAGAGATAACTTGCCCCGAGGGTCAGATAGCTTGTAATGACAAGAAGGCGTGTATAAATAAAAGACAACAGTGTGACGGCATCAGGAACTGTTATGATGGATCCGATGAAGACAAGAGCATCTGTGGTAAGCTTCCAGAGACATAATTAAACAGCGGTCCATGACTAAGTACCAAATTAAAATTAAGCTTTTGACATCTTTTACAATAATCTCCTATAGACTTGGTAAAAGCTGAAGATATCGTTCCAATTATACTTGTTTTTATAAAATGATTGTAAAACAATGTGTATACCTTCTTGCAAATGTCAATTTCGATTTAATTATACATTTAATCTGTTTATAAAGTCAAATATTTATTTCATACAAGTAATAATAAATTTATGTAGTCCTAAATTTTGTTTTGACTGCGGCACCACGTGACCATGATGATGTTGACCCTTAACCTGCCGAACTTATGTACTACTTTGAATTTGGAAAATGACGTATTTTGTCGATACTTAAATTGAATGAAGGGAACACAAATATTTAATGAAATTCCATGAAATAAATTTTGTATTGTGACTAATGATAAAGTTGAAAAATTATACCAATAGTGAAAATAAGGTTTGTAAAACCTTTTATACCGTAAAACCTACCTTATAACCTACACGTTATCTTGAAAGACCCTTGAAAGACCTGGAACAACACAAACAAATCAATCAAAGGACAGATAACTCGAACACGAGTCGAAGACCACCATTTTTTAAAATCTCTTAAAATCTCTTGGACCATGCAAATATTTTAATAGATTATTTTAGTTTTTACATGCTGATCTGTTTCTAAGAGTAACCCTAGCATAAGCCTTTTAGGAGTTTCAATTTCAAAATACAAAAAAACTGAGCCACAAACAGTTTATGGCATGGTCAAACAGCGCGAATATGCAGGCTGACGTGACTCTGTACCACGGCAAAGGCTTATCACTTTTAGTTCAAGCATGGAAAGGGTTAATATATTTATTTCAAAACAACAACAACAGTGATGTTATGTAAAAACGGAAATAGTCATTATTGACCGCTGTTTTGTATAATTGTCTCTGCTCCCATTTCATATGTAAAGTTATAAATACCTTTATATATTTCAATTATAAGATTTGTTTTAAATAAAGTGCAGAATATAAAAAAATCGATATTTTCGACATTTTTGTCTGTAACTTTAAATAAACAAGTAAACAAATAAACTGACTATATCAAACGTTTATTTTTTCACATATGTTTTTAATAAGCATGTATTCTTATTGATAGCATTATCTTTATTTGTTGCTATGCGATCGTAATCATTTGATATATATGTCTTGATGTCTTGTGTGTTTGTATGTTACCGGGAACGCTGACAGTGTATTAACTTCTATATCCACGCTTTCATTATATTGAAATTGTTAAAGACATATATTCCAATCATCATAATCATCCGAAATTTGTTGTTTTTCTTGGATTTTTACATCAGTCTACGAATTTTATTCTAAAAGTTACTTTGGCAAGTCTTTGATACTTAAATTTTGAAATTCTTTCAAAGCCATTTTACTCTTGACCTCTTTTACATATTTTATTTTTGGTGTTCGGGAGAGAAAAAAAAACAAGATATTTTTAAAAGCAATCAAGATTTAATTGTACTTGCTTTGAAACAGAGAAATGCTTTCAAGGCAAAACATGTGCAAATATCAGGCAAATATCAGGCACACATTTTAGTTTTCAAAATAATTTGTTCAGTGTCTCTAACATCCACATCGTGGGTAACACGTATTTCATTTGGACTTGTAAGATACAATGATATCTAGAGACTTGATGCATGCTTGAATATGTATTATAGCATTTTGTACATCCACTATATAGGAGTTTTATGACACTGTTCTGTTTTTTCTAACAACTGATAACAAGATCTGCTGATATAGTATTGAAAATCAGTTCATGTATGATATCATTTGCCATAGGAAATTGATAAATAATTAAGTGTTCCCTACATCCAGCATCCTTACTTCCAACATTTTCTATTGCACTGTCAGCGTTCTCGTAAAGAATCTCCCATCACGGAAATAGAGTAGAATACATTACTTAGATTTGATCTTATCGCCTTGAATTATTTCTTCATCTTTTATGACTTTAGCATATTTTGTAACATTTAGATTTTTATTTCTTTCTAAACATATTTCATAATCTAGCTCTATCATACTATCGCTATATTCTTATCTTGGTTTTTCTTAGAACTCTTATAACTATTCTAGATTATTTGATACTCTGTGATACTCTGTAGCTTTTGGAAATGTGTTTTAATTTTCTGTATCCGAACGACGACTGTCTGTAAAAAGCTTTGATAATTTACTCTATTTGTATATTAAATAGAAATAACCAGTCAGTTCTTTGAAACAATATTTGTTTCATAACTTCCCCTAAGTTTTGAAACAGCTGATTATTGTCTTGCTCTAGGGTTTTAATATTGAAAATCTTTTGAAAGAATTGCTTTTATTAGAAAAAAAACTGTTTTAATTTTGTATTGAGATTTAGAAGTAATTTTAAGTATCGTGTTTAACAAAGATAAGATCTTAAAAAAATAAAGAAGAAATATGCTTCAATGAATGCCATTAGTGTGATTTAGCGGAGAAAAGTCTGGGGATTTTGCGAAGATTTTATAAGCAATGTTTGTGACAACAGATTCTACCCATGTGATATAAACCGTCTGATCGTGCTTTGCATTGTCCGCTTCTTTTCAGTCAGTAGTAATCTTTCAATTTTCCCTAAACATGAGAAATAATATAAGAAATGGTTTTGACGAACAAGTTCGCGCGGTAAGGACTAATACACATTAATATGTCATGCTGTGTCATATTTATGCACATATCGTCGCTTCGTTCAACACGGCTGCTCGATTTGTGTCTTGTGTCAGTATTGTTAAAGCTTTGGTGGAATCTATTTTTTGTATAATTTTTGTTTATGGTAATTATGCGTATGGTTTTTGTTACAAAACAACAAGTGTAATAAAATATTTTGTGTAGATGAGTACTTTAATTGCCTTTAATTAATATATGATACAATAAAATCACAAATGCTTCTTAAATGTAAGCACTTGCATATTTTCTTACAAAGACGACTTGGAATGTGGGTTTATTTTATTCTATGTCAAGAATGACATAGAGTTATAAAAACTTAGTTAACCATTTCAAGATTAGATTTTACGCATATTCTGAACAAATATTATGCATACAATACTTAACTCTTAGCTCTTTTCATTTTAGAAATTTTATAGAAACTGTCTCTTCTTCTCGCTGATGTTTTCTTACCTACCCTCTGAAGAAGTCCTTCCCTTTACCTCTCTAAATTTCTATAATTCCTATTTGCATTTATCTGCAAGCATTTTTCAATGGCATGCTTGTTTAAAAGAAAAGCTAAAGTCTAATATTCTAAATGGTTTTTTACAACTTGAAGAGATGAAATTATTTTTTTCAAAATCAAAGTTAGGTTTATTTTTCAAAATTGTATTCGACGATGTGGGATTCTATTTTGTGTCTGTGTTGTATTGTCAGATTTCTATTAAACTTTTGTCCTAGACGCCCGCTCACGTTTACAGAATTCCCGCCGTCGCCGTCGCCGCCATCACCGCAAACAAAAACAACTACGGAATCTACAACCACGAAAACCACAACAACAACGCAAACAACGACGATTGAAGCAACAACGCCAAGCACAACAACAATAAAATCAACAACAACTACGACAATCCCAACTACTACGAATGAAATGGAAATGAGCGGTGATGGTGATGGAGAAATTCCCGAAACTATAGATCAAGAAACCTGTAAATCATTGTATAACAGTTGGTATGACCCCGATTTTCCTGGAGGAAGACCTCCGCCGTTGAGTCCATCTGAAGAGATTAATAAAGAACTGTGCCATCACCTGTTGTTTGTTGCGCAGAAAACGTGTCAGACTGGAAACAATCAAGTCGTAGTTACACCTAAGTTGTGTGCATATATAGAAAACTCTGAACTGCCTTTAATGAGTACCAGAACAAAACGACATAAGCATCACAAAGATAAAGTCACTGACGATGAAGAAATCATTCATATAATGAAAGATGAACCTTTTAGAGACATAGATAACATTGAGGAAATATCTGACATTTCATTTCTAGAATTAGACAAGGATCGTATTATTAAGCGTGAACGGTATGTAGAAATAGAGCCTAAGCCTCAGGCAGCTACCAGTGTGAACCGCTCTGCAGCGCTGTTTTATACGCCACTGTCATTATGTCTTGCAGTCGTAAGCTGTTTTGTTTTGGCGAATATATGAAAATTTTGAAAATATTCCAGAATTTTGCAATATTTTCTGCTGAAGTGTCTTTGTATTAGTCAATACAGTATATAAAACGTTTTGAAAATATGCTAGTATTTGCAATATTTTCTACTGTTTCATTATGTATTGCAGTCGTTTAGTGTTTTGTTTTTTGGTGAATATGTGAAAGTTTTGAAATTATGATTGAATTTGGCAAAACTGAAAATGCTGTATTGAAAATGTGCAGATAGTTTTGCAATATTTTTTATTTTGTTGTTTATTTGCTTTTTTGTAATGATGAATGCAAAACATGCCAAAAATGTTGTTTTATTTTTTCTTGCTGTTTTATGTCAATGAATATTATCAAACTTTTGAAAATGTGCAAGAAAAAAAAGCAACGATTTCTTCTGGTTTGTAGAGGTACAGATATAAAACGTTTTGAAGATGTGCCAAAAAAGGCAATATTTTCTTTACATAAGTATTAGTACATAATTAACGCTAGTGATTGAATAAAAAGAAGATGTCAGAAAAAAGAAATATATGTTTGTTCATCTATTATGGATGCTATGAAACGATATAGTTATAGTGCAAGAACAAGCACACTTTTGTTTTGGTTTATATTACAGAATACAATTAATATGAAACTTAGGAAAACATGTAAAATGTGTATCAATTTTGTTATTTTTAAATGAAAATCCTTGAACATTTGGAAGTGTTTAAAGAAAATCTATATTTTGTGCTATCCTATATGAAATGATTTATTAAATATATCGCAAGCGTTTTTTTTGCCGATTATATGCACATTATCATTGAAACATTTAGTGATGTACAAGAAAAAGGCGTTTTTTTCTGCCGATTTTTTTCATATAAATGAAGATATGCAAGGTGAAAATTCTAACTGCTGCTATGTTGTTGTGTATGTTTGAAATTATGTCAAGAGAGAACAATATATTGTTATTGAATCATGGACATTTATAGCGAAAAGGGTAAAATTTAATTTACATACTGAAATATATATTTTAGTTTAATATATTAAAATAGACTTTGGTATTTGAGCCGTGTCACGACAAAACCAACATAGTGCGTTTGCGACCAGCATGGATCCAGACCAGCCTGCGCATCCGCGCAGTCTGATCTGGATCCATGCTGTTCGCTATCAGTTTCTCTACTTGTGATAGATTGGTAAGCGAACAGCATGGATCCTGATCAGACTGCGCCTCCGCGCAGGCTGGTCTGGATCCATGCTGGTCGCAAACCCATTATGTTGGTTTTGTCGTGACGCGGCTCATTTATTAGTTGTATTTATTAGTTGTATTTTCTTTGTCATGTCTGGAATAATTGCACCATTTTAAATTGTGAAAGTGCCACCACAGTTCTCGTTTAGGGTTGATATGTTTTCTCCTCTTTCTGAAATCTACAAATCGTTCCAATTCCCAGTAACATACTTTTTAAACTCCATTGTGTCGTCTTTCTGTTAAATAACCTTTGCGAAAAGCTTACATTAATTCTATGTATTTTTCACATTTTTTTCTTCTTGATAGCATAAAGGTTTGTCCTTTTCTTTCATCAAAAATATCTGAAATTACCATAGTTTTAGATGTAAAAAGCATGTAAATATGTTTGGGTTTTTTTTTTGCAGTTGAATCGAAAAGTATGACCCCGACCGTTTAGTGCAAAAAAAAAAGAATTACAGTTGTAGCCTTGATTAGTATTAGTTTAAAAAAAAGAATATAATAATTAAACTAAGAGTACTTTCATGAAATGAATGACAATATCAATGAACTGATAGAACGTAAACCTGAAAAATATATAGAAAAAAAAATTGATGTGTTTCTTTAAATTGAATTGATTAAAACAAAAAGTGTTGAAGTGTGAACACTTTACAGGTTTTGGCTTTTTATTATATTGTAATTGTGTTTGGTGATCTAAGTACATAAATAAATCTTTTTTTATTCTATTCATAAATCATGTGTAAATGCCAGTTGGCAGACTGCTTTCTTCGAAGAGAAGGGGTCTTATTACTAGCATTTAATACTGTTGCTTTACACACCTCAAGTTCTGTATCCAAATTTTCTCATTTATCACCAAAAGTGGTGACGAAATTGCAAGTTATGTGAGGACGAAATTGTTAGTAATATAACAACAAAACTGCAATAAATGTGAGGACCCAATTGAAAGTGTTGTGAGGACTAATTGCAAGCAATGTAACAAAATTGCGGGAAATGTGAGGACAAAATTGTTAGTTATGTGGGGACCCAATTGAAAGTAATGTGAGGACAAAATTGCAAGCAATGTAACAAAATTGCGGGAAATGTGAGGACAAAATTGTTAGTAATGTGGGGACCCAATTGAAAGTAATGTGAGGACAAAATTGCATGTAAAGCGAGGAAAAAAAATGTATGTAATGTGGGGACCCAAGTGTAAGTAATACGGGGACCCAATTTCAATTAATTAAAGCACGATATGCAACAATTGTGAGGACCTAATGCAAGTAATAAATGCAGCTACAATTGCCACAATTGAGTTTTATATTGAATAGGGCAAAAATGAAACGGATTGACTGCGGGTATAAAGTTGGGCAACCTGTTTAAGTGCTAAAATGTTATTTTTCTTTATTTTAAGATATATGTGTATAAGGTATTTACATTAAGGCCAGTAGCTGTGTCAAAAAGTTTATTGATATTACGTTGAGATGCATATATTTGGTGTGTGTGTGTGTTTTTTTTCTTTTTATCAAACACTGTTTGTATGTCTTTTTCAGTAATATCGCTTTTCGCTAATTTTAGATATTTGTGTTGCTATAACATATTATACTGACGGCATGAATAAGTTGCTTTATAAAATTGCTGTTTATGTATATATGTTACTTATAAATGTTTAGATGTAAAAGAACACGATCATATATACTATCGGTAGAAATAATCCACGAGGTGTTTTTTTTTTAAATTCATTATGACGTACAAAGTTTTTTTTTTGTTTTTTTTTCGTTTCGTTTGTTGAGCTTTTGTTTGCTGTTTTAAACAAAAGTTGGAGAATGTAACTTTTTATGCCCCCACAATGTGGGAGCATATAGCGTTGCACTTGTCCGTCCGTCCGTCAGTCCGTCCGTCCGTCAGTCCGTCCGTACGTCCCGAAATCTTGTGAACGCAACTCCTCTTAAACCGGATGGCAGATTTTGCTTAAACTTACAGGGATGAACAACCTTAATGTGTAGATGGCAGTAAAGGAAGGAATTTTCGCTGCGACCAAATTTAACAGAATTATGGCCCTTTGTTGATTTTTTCACTATATACTATGTAGACATTTTGTGAACGCAACTCGTCTTAAACCGGATGGCAGATTTTGCTTAAACTTACAGGGATGAACAACCTTAAGGTGTAGATGGTAGTAATGGAAGTAATTTTCGCTGCGACCAAACTTTACAGAATTATGGCCCTTTGTTGATTTTTTCACTATATACTATGTAGAAATTTTGTGAATGCAACTCCTCTTAAACCGGATGGCAGATTTTGCTTAACCTTTTAGGGATGAACAACCTTAATGTGTAGATGGCAGTAAAGGAAGGAATTTTTGCTGCAACCAAATTTAACAGAATTATGGCCCTTCGTTGATTTTTTCATTATATACTATGTAGAAATTTTGTGAACGCAAGTCCTCTTAAACCGGATGGCAGATTTTGCTTAAACTTCCAGGGATTAACAACCTTAATGTGTAGATGGTAGTAAAGGAAGGAATTTTTGCTGCGACCAAATTTAACAGAATTATGGCCCTTTGTTGATTTTTAATTTTCAATTTGTGGCACATGTAGTCCAAAAAATATTTTACCTAGAGTCATAAGATTGACAGAACAGTGGAGTGTGGGGACATCCGTGTCCTATGGACACATTTCTAGTTAAAGTTAGATTTGGTTTCGTCTAATCTTATGATTATGTTTTCGATTATCATTTTAGGTCCTGAACCTTGTTACTAATGTTTTTTTAAGCTGAATTATAATGTAAATATATTTGACAGCATGCCATGTCCTAACTTTGTGCTAGCAATTAGGGAGATGAAAAAATTATTTTGCCAAATAGATATTATATTGTTTAAATGGGCTATATATGACTTAACGTACATAAGTATAGGAATTTGTGTTTTCTTGTAAATTAAAGCTGGTGGATATACCACAGTAGGTGAAAATTGTACATGATGAATGAATGATTCTCGTGCTTCAACGTTGTCAGTGCACGTGTATTCTGTAGCCTAATTGTCCGTGCAATCTTAAGAGGCAGTATTATTTTATACCAATAATCTTTGTATGAGGTGTACTTTTTGATGAAATTAGTTTACAATTTTTCGTAATAAAGTGCAAATTTTTAACTCTGGTTGTGTGTTTCTATCTCATATAATTCTCACTGTATATACCCAATTTGCGTAAACTCATCATTTGGCCTGCTGAGTTTGTGAAATAAATTTTCTGTGCTTTGAAATTGGAACATTCAACTTAATTAACGGATTTAAGCATTTACAAACAATAAAGGATTTAACTCACTACAGTGTTGGAGCAATACTTTAGACGCTTGCAGAAATCATGATCACAAAGTAGAAAAATATCGCTATTTTCACCGATTCTTCTATTTTGCATTCATTATCGTATATAAATCGGTGTGAACAGTTGAATTAGACATAATATCTGATGAGAAAGCGTTTTTTTGTCGTTTAAGTCTGTATTTTAAAAAAACAAAGTAGGAAATAAAGATATTTTTGTTATAGTAAAAAGATAATTGGTGACACTTGCAAATTGGTGAGTCGTGTCATAAATGTTTAACATACGCATATACTTCGTTAGAAGTTAGCCAAATGGTACGTAATATAATATTTAAGATATATGCAGTTACTCCGCTAGAAAATAGCCAAATGGTAAGTAGTGGGATATATATTATATGCTCCATAAGAAGATTATTCAAAGCCCAATGGTTTATTTTGGAATAGTTAACATGTGTTCTGTAAGAAGAAATCTCAATGGTACATAAATGGAAGTCGTATAGTATGTAACGGAACATTTAAGATATATGTTCCATAAGTTGTGAGCCAAAAGGTTCTTTATGGAACATTTAAGATATATGAGCCGCGTCACGACAAAACCAACATAATGGGATTGGGACCAGCATGAATCCAGACCAGCCTGCGCATCCGCGCAGTCTGATCAGGATCCATGCTGTTCGCTATCAGTTTCTCTACTTGTAATAGAGTTTGTAAGCGAACAGCATGGATCCTGATCAGACTGCGCGGATCCATGCTGGTCGCAAACCCATTATGTTGGTTTTGTCATAACACGGCTCATATGTTCATTGCTGCAACAAAAATTCCAGAAAATAAACTATCTAGTAACTGCACAGAGCGAAGAAACAAGAAGAAACTAAACGTATGCAAAAACTTTATTATGGTGCAAACCATACATGTAATTCAAATAGTGTAGTTTCGAATCAAAGCTCATTAATTTCTTTTAAAAAAGAAGAGAAAATTTATTTTGATAAATGTTTAAACTGAGATACGAATGAATCTTTAGGAAAACATGAGTTTTATAACATTTAAATGACGGTTTAAGAGCATGTTAAATTCTCATCACCTGAAGAAAATAACGATGAATGTGAAATTATTCTATGTGATATTAGCAAAATATATTAAACATAATAGTATTATGACTTCCATACAAAATACTAAATCACACTAGAACTGTATCTATTGAAAAAAAATCAACAGAACAGCAAAAATGGTTCCAGTCATTGGCCAATAAGTAACTTTTTGGAAACCATAAACAGAAGAGTAAAAACAAAGATTTGTGAAATGAAAAATAAACAGCCTGTCTGAGACATGCGCGTAATGGGCCTTAAAACAGTCGAATCATTAGAATAACCAGGTCATGTTTTTGTTATTTTGAGTCCGTCTGATTCGAATACATCTATTTTGGAACGAAACGTCTAAAACGTAAAGCAAGATAGGCTGCCACTCTTAAACATATAAAGATGATGGAAAACGTTGCTAGGTAACAATGTATAGGTAGGACCATTCCAGCTTCGTATAAGACGTCTTTTGATGTGATCACTTCCGTTACGTTCTGTACACATTTTGGAAAATTCTTTACGCTCGTACCATTACATCTGTAAAATGAAGAATAATATAGTATCACTTTAATTTTCATTTATATGAAATGTTATATCGCATATATAATTAATTTACTCTTAAGACCACATTTGATTATTATTATTATTATTATTATTATTATTATTATTATTATTATTATTATTATTATTATTATTATTATTACTACTATAAGACAACCATTTAGGATTGCTTATTTTCATTTTTCGAAGCTTATATGCAACACCACATTTTGTTAGATTGTCATGCTTGTAAATAATTTTTAAATAATGACAGTAAAAAAACAAAAGTTCAATGAACCGCATGAAAAAAAGTACAAAAACCGTGGCTAGGTTCGGGCGTTTACTATAATTGCTTGACTGTAGTCGACGCACTGCCAATGTTCCTTTTCAGTGGGAACCAGAGAGACCGCGCCTATAGAAGTAAATTTTTTATGTCGAATAGCAAGTTTAATTTGGCGTTGTCAAGTCTAAGTATTGTAACCATAGTTAGCGACGGAACCCTGTCCGTAATGTATTCGAGCAAAAATGTAATTGGACAATAGCAAAAAACCTACACTATTTGAAAGGTCATTATCAGTATAGTTTATACAGAACTTATTTTAGTTCGATTGTGTTTGAAGCTGTTAGCTTTTAGATACACTTTCGAATCCGTTCCTGGAACCAGTCGGTACTGAGCAATGAGTGTAACATTTCTTGCCCAAGAAAACAACGGCTTGCCCAAAACGTGGGTTGAACCAATGCAAAGAGCAATCCTTAGATTTGGCCAAGTGCAACGCGTTAATTACTCGGCTTTGTCGCCAAAAAAATTCACTATACTTACGGGACTGGTTCCATGTTGTCGAACACTATGAGACAAATTGCACTAAGTGGGTAATGTATATGGGAGAAATATTTCACCCAGGAGATCCAGTGAGGTATTGACTGTGTAATAAAGCCACTGAATAGCAAGGCGATCAGAATCAATGTATTTGTTGTTAAAAAGGAGATCTTTACGTTTGGTATGGCAGCTCCAAGGAACAGCCCCAAACCCTGAAATGTAAAGCATTTTATAACTGTTTATAATATACGAACATTATTCTTAAGTAAGGCATTTTACTAGCATAAGTGTTTGTTTCTAACATATGTACCATTGAATATCAGTTTCTGAATATGTGTGTACTATTGTCACGATAATGGGTTGGATAAATGTGACATGAATCTATTCCTATGCATTAGATCCATCGAAAGGTCAATTTAAAGATAGAAAGCAGTTGACTACACGTGCTTATTTTTTACTATTTATAAAATTATACAGTAATTCGCAATTCGTCATTTTTTACATATAAAGAAACCGGTTCCATAAGGCTTTTCACGTGCGAGTGTAATGTCATTTGACACTTTTGTTTTGATTATGAAACTACCAGGGCCGCCATTGCAGCATAGCTCCCTGTGACAAGCATGTTAAAAACATGCAACATCGGCGCGTGCTCACGTGATTTTAACTGTCAATATGTATTTTCTCCGTTAATGTATACCTACGAATGCAGTTTTTATGCAATAATTCTCGTAAATACTTGTTTCATTAATAACTCAGACTTATTCCTATTATTTTGAATATGATATTCTGACATGAAACTCGTTAAAATTCGGCATATTTCGCTACTTTTCGTGTAACAACAATGAAGCACTGTGTTTGAAACATCATGACCATTAATCATCATCAATTACACAATTAATTAACAAATAACGGAAAAAGTTGAAAATTTATAAGTCAAGGGGAACATGATTAAGAGCTCCACATATCTTATTTAAAGTTTTTCAGTATATATTGGATATGAATAGTGAGAAAATTGACCGAATATGAGCGTTCAAAGGTTGGATGGATATGTATATGGAATAAAGTTTGAAATATCTGTCCGAAGATCAGTAACTATACAGAAAAGAGTATTAAATACTGCAAAATAAAATTAATACTAAGCTGGTACTGTACCTGGGCACTAAATACACTCATTATTAGTATTGGCCACGTCATGAAGAACTCTTGAACACCGTTCAGTCCCACCATCCAGTATACAATCGTATAAAACACTGTTGGCATAATAAACAGCAACGGTAGCTCGCTAACTGACTTGGCAAAATAATAAGCTGACAACCTGTAAGCCCCCGCAGCTCTTTCTTTCGACACCACGCCTATTTCCGCAGGAACTGAAAACGGTAGTTGACATTAGTACATAATTAAGTACAATTTTCAGTGTAAAAGCAATTCGTTATACAATGTAACATTTTTCACTAAAAATTTCTTACTTGGTATAATGCAATTTTACGCCTTTGTCATAATTTGATTAAAGGCACATTAAGTCTCAGAAACAACTTACTTTTTGCCTATATTACGAGGACAAACATGAGTTTTTTTAGCGATTATATAGTGGTTTTATTTATGTTAGCAGCATGTAACCTGAAAAAAGTAGCGCATGAATGAGAAATTACGAATTATAAAAGAAGCAAAATGTAAACAAAGTACATGTAGTATTTTGACTTCCATACAAAATACTTTATCACTAGCTACATCTGTAACAATTGCTAAAGGAATAACAGAAGCAAAAGATGGTTCATGTAATTGGCTAATTATTAACTTTTTAGAAACTACAACAGGGCACCAAAATAAAAAAAATAGAGAAATAAAAACAAAAGTATTTCTGAGGCATAATTTTTGTCACAGTTTGATTAAAATGTAATTGTGTAGTTTGATTCACAAGTTTGCTTTAATTCTATGTCAAGTTAATTTGGATGATACTTTGTCGCGGTTTTATCAAGTAATGATATATTTATTAATTATAGATACTTCGTATTTGATCCATAATACAGGCAAAATTATATCAGACTTACATGCTAACACCGCCTCGAAAGCTGGGGCGAACGTCCAGAAAGTTACACAAAAGAAGCACTGGAAAAAATAGAATTAATATATAAGATTGAAAATCTTTACATCGTCTTAACAGCTGATAAACTTTAACAATTCTTCCTTACTTAATAATTTAAGTGTCTATATCAAATTCAACTTTTTCATTATTTCTTTTGGAAGTAAAAGAAAATTGTCAGTTGCAAAGACGATTGCCTAATAACTTTTTCACGGACAACACAGTTATACGTTTAAGGGACTCTACTGTATCCCAAAAGCTTAAAACGCGAAATTTGAAAATCTAATATAGATAAACTGGGCTCTCGAAACGGTAAAGTATGAAATGAGTATAAAATACAAAGAATTAAAGAGATAATCGATATTAAAGGTTCTTAGCTCGATTCGAGTAAATGTGTTTAAACGTTTTTAGATCATTTTACACAATAAAAATGATTGTTCTCGACAATGTAGTGAGCAATTGCACACGTTATTGATCTAGACCTTCATCACATGTTCTGTTTCTCCCTGATAATTCATCTCGGACATCATGTCTAATGGTCATTTGTCTCTCAGCGCTGATTTAAAAATCATTTGGGATTAGGAGTCGGTTACTTGCCGAGAAATAATTAATTACTGATAAGGTATTCATGAAAACCGGTTTGGTGGACTGACCAACGAGATATGACCAAAAAACTGCGTTAGAATCGGCGTAAAAACAAATGAACAAAAATAAATGACATACTGCGCCCATTTTGTCTCGCGCTACGTCTGCACTGGACGATATTTGAAAAAAGAGCATGCTAGCAATGCCTGCCATAAATAGATAATGGCAAACGTCATAAAGATGTAATATTCGTCCTTTTGATTGCTTGAAATTCCGCCATGACAACATACGAAACTGTGTATAGAAACTGGTCGGCCATCTTGGTTGCGCAGACGACTTTGAAACGCCAATGTCAAAGTCATCAAGTGTAACAATTGTTCCAGACGAATCTGAAAAAAAGAGAATAATGTATTTTTCTACATCGATTATTTTTTAAATAAATATGTCAGTTATTTCATTTCAAAGCATTATAGTAAGAAGTAAAGAAATATAAAAAAGGGAAGTTTTACTCAATAATTTTCTGTGGGATGTGCCGGGTTTAGATGCATGGTACCTAATAACCACAGTTTTACAGATGTTTATAGACGGCGTAACAAAAAAGACCTTCGGTTGTCATTTTATAGATGACCTTTTCCTTACAATTCTTACTCCCACTAAAGAACCCCATTTATTTGTTAAAACATGTACACTTTTATTTAATTTTATAACTCTTTCTGTATAACGTGTCCTTATCCACTTAAAAGAAGGACACAATGAAATTCATCCTCTATGTCAGAAAATTTACATATTTCACATTTTCTGTCATTTAATTCGATTCTATTTTAACTGTGCATTCCTGTTGCAATACGTTACATATAATCTGATAGTCTCAATTTTGTGATAAGATGATGGCTTAATTTATATATTTCGCCCGAATGCTGGTAGCTTGTATTTTTGGTTGAAAATACGGCTATACAATTTTAGCATACTCACGGCTTTTGGTGATAATTGATGCTGTAGAATCACTCTTACTGAAGGGAAGAGGACTAGTGTTGTTGATTGATAAAATAATTCCATTATCAGCATTATCTTGTTTTAAACTCAATTCATTGGTAGAGAATCTGTTGATAGACACAAATTAAAGAAATAATACATTTCATTGGCAAAACATGTGGTGTATAATGTTTAAATAATGGGTTAAAGAACATGGTATGTGCACATCGTTGAAAGAATGTAGCGCTAATTCAGTGAAAAGGCTGTCATAAAAAGAGCAAAATGTGAACAAAGTGATGTTTTTACTAAGACAAAATGCTTAAATTTATAAGAAGAAAAAAATGGTTCATCTATATAGTCAATGAGTAACATTTTGAACAATGTAACATTAACCAAAAAATAGAATAAAAAAGTTTTGATAGATAAGAATATTACAATTTTGGGGATTCGTAGGCCTCTTAAATAGAAATAAAATCATAGAAATTCATGTTCATACGATAAAATCGGATGCCAAATAGAAAACTCGAAGAAAAATATTTTCGGCAAAACTTTATAGAATATAATAGATCGTTTGAACTAAATATGGACAAGGAATCTTCATGCGTCAGTGTGGCAGACGCTTTTCCACCAAACGAATCACTGTCAACACAAAGAAGTCCAAACTTTGCCAGTAAGCAATGTACAATTATTTGATAAACATAAATGTAACTTACGAGTGTTTTAGTTTAAATGCACACACGATCTCTTCAATTTTATACTGATCAGCTTTGAGCACTTCAACTGAAATTTACGATACAAACTTTAACGCTCATATTTCCAGAAGGCAATGGAAAAAATATTTTCGACAAATTATACAAACTCCATATACAGGTACATATTTAGCTGTACAAATCGTATACATGAGTTTTAAATGGGTTAACTTGAGTGCCTTTATATGATTTAAAAACATACGTTTTATATCAGTGATACAATTCAAATATGAGCCGCGTCATGACAAACCCAACATAATGGGTTTGCGACCAGCATGGATCCAGACCAGCCTGCGCATCCGCGCAGTCTGATCAGGATCCATGCTGTTCGCTATCAGTTTCTATACGTGTAATAGAGTTTGTAAGCGAACAGCATGGATGCTGCTCAGACTGCGCGGACTAAGTTTGGTCGCATCGGTTTAAGGTAGAATTTTCATTTCAATTTACGAATAACATTACCCATATTTTCTTAGAAATTATTGAAGAAGTCATTATAGTAATAATAATAATAATAATAATAATAGTTATTATTATTATTATTATTAATAATAATAATAATAATAATAATAGTTGATGATGATGATGATGATGATGATGATTACAAATATCTTACGGAAGAAATCGGCTGGATTGCACATTTCGTCACATTTAAATCCACACGTTCCGAGAAAATCTAACGGCTCTTTGTGTGCACCTCCAAAATAAGCTACCTGAAAAGTAAGTTTGTATTAATAATGTTGCCCTAAAGATATTCCATACATTTGATATTGTTTAAAAGGTGCTCTGTTGCACCGTATCAACTTACGACGTATATAGCTAACACGTTGGTTGAAAACGTATACAGTTTACGCCGAACTGTGTTCGTTACTTAACAACGTATACGTAAGCTGTACACGTTGGAAGCACCACTGATATTAAATCTTAAAAGCGAATTTAAAATTATTGCATATACATGTATTAACTGAGGCCTTTTGAACATAAATATATGTAAAAAAATATAACACAGAAATATACTCTTGATTTCAAATGAAAATCGTATTTTATGCAATTCTTAGTCCAATTAGCATCATTTTTGGGGAAATTATCGCAATTTCAAACGTTTTTTCTTGAGTGACTGAATGACATAACATTTTTGCGCACAAGTTTTCGTCCAGTCTTAAATTAAATTAAGGAATAAACCTGTCCAGTCCTGTCATGTCATCCCTTTAAATTAACACCTACATTCACTTATACGGATCATGATAATGCCTTCAGATAAATTTCTTTGCAAGCTATATTAGAAGGAAAGTAAATTTGCTAAAGTACATAATAAATCAATTAGTTAAACAGAAAACGTTCATGGTGAAATGAAAGAAAAGCCGGCGTTACTCTTGGCATTTGATTCGTTGTCTAAGACCGGCGTGAAGAAGAAAAAGATCGTGAGATATCACGGTAGAACAAAGCAACTTGTCAATTATATATTGCGCCGTGTCATGACAAAACCAACATAGTGCGTTTGCGACCAGCATGGATCCAGACCAGCCTACGCATCCGCGCAGTCTGATCAGGATCCATGCTGCTCGCTATCAGTTTCTCTACTATTAATAGGGTTGGTAAGCGAACAGCATGGATCCTGATAAGACTGCGCAGATGCGCAGGCTGGTCTGGATCCATACTGGTCGCAAATCCATTATGTTGGTTTTGTCATGACACGGCTCAATTATTGTAAGTATTTTTATACCTTGCCCCTTGCCAGGAGAAGTAAGGTGTTGAACATGTAATAAATCTGACTGGATGGTTGATGGATGCTGACGATGATCGTTTTATTATGTTCTCTAGCGAATTTCTTCATCTGTTTGATAAGGGACAGGGCTGTGCTGGAGTCCAGGCCTGATGTTGGTTCCTTAAGTGAAAAAAGAGAGGCAAGGATATTATTATAATGTTATTTCAAATTTATCATTGTTAAGTATCCTTCGAATATATTACAAAATTTGATGATTATTTGAGGAAAGGCACATTAAGCCACAAAAAAAATAAATACGATTTTCCCTCTAAAAGGAAAGTCAAGCCTATGATTTATACCGTTTTCATTCCAAATTTCAAGCATGTTAGTTGCTCTATGAAGAAAACAGCGTTAAGGGGAAATAATTTGTTCTTTAAGGTAGAAACTTAAAGATAATGGAGATTTTGCTCCCATGCAGATACTTAATCTATTATGTAACAAAATATAAAAGATAGTTCAGCTGTATGACCATTGACATTTGTTTATGAAAAACTAACAGAATACAAAATAATATACACACCAAACATTTTTTGAGAAATGAAAAAAACAACATATTGAAGGTATACTGAGCATTTAAAAATAGACTTTATATCACTGCATCCAAACTACTGTGGATTCGGTAGGTCGACGCTACTCGAGTGTGTGTCTGCTCGTAATTAAAATAGTGCACGTAGTGTCGTGTTCCTCTGTTCCTCTGGAACGTCACAATATGACCTTAACAGTGTCGATATGACTCAAAATCCAACCAACAAGAATTAAACAATTGTCTTGCCATCTTAAAATGTTCGTTGTTCTAATCTTTATTAAAACGATTAGATTATTTGCAAACGGATTTACAAGTTTTGATGAATATCAAAACTGTTGCGGGGCCTCCGAAGTCGAGTGCTTACCCCTCTCCGCTGTGTGTTCATATCCCGTCAGGGACTTTGGATAATACTATCTGTCATATGTTGCGGTTCGGACCGGAATATCCGTCCCGAGGTGACCCGCCCATTGGGCGGTAACGAGGCTTGCCGAGTTACCGCCCATGGGCGGGTTACCGAGGGACGGATATTCCGATTCGAACCGCAAACATATGTCAGATATTTTTTCTTGCATATTCTACAATATTCCATTATATTTTAAATTCTTTATCTTTATTTTCAACGGAAATTTATATCATTACAGCCGTAACTATTTTCTTACAACAGCGTATGAAATTGCAACTTCATTCATAACGGTAAAATGACGTCATCCTAAGCGTGCCATTGTATAGCACGCGACTCATCTGGCACCCCCATGCCAGATGAAATTTCCGGCATGGGTAAAACACACGGAAACGCCAGTCTGCTATGCAAGAACAAGTGAACCTGTGGTCATGAAATATAAGATTCAACCCCGTTTGTTTTGTTGTTGTTATTAACAACTACACAGTTCATGCGTTATTTCTAAAGCGTCCGTATCTCTATATTTATAAAAAAAGGTATAAAATATTTTTTTCTTACATCAAGTAGGAGTATATCAGGATCTGTAAGAAGTTCACAAGCAATACTCGCTCTTTTCTTTTCTCCCCCGGACAATCCACGTTCAAACATGTCTCCAATAACTAGACAAACACAAAGTATAACGGACAGGTAACTATCAATTAAGAAACAAAATGTTTAAAGTTGCATGCCTCCAGATGAGCCAAAATATTTCAAGAAAATTCAAACTTGAGGAACATGCACAAAGATTTTAAGAAAAGTAAACATATTCACAGTGTACCCTGATATAACATTTTTTTTAATTCAACGACAGATAAAAGAAACAAGAGGGAAATGGTCGTTAAAGTTGAGATTGCAAAAGATTGCAGAAAATGCAAAGTTCACATCTTAAAAAAGGGTGTTTCACTCCTCCAAAAAGTAAATTTTTGATACAATAATTTTATATATAACACGCTGTTATACTGTAGTAAAAATTTAAACATGCGTTTTATTTTCAAATATCTGGAAAAAAGTTATCCCTCAGAAGCATTTTAACAGCAAAATTACATGTAGACTCGGTTTGATTGAGTCTGATATGAGGGATAATGAAAAAGTGTTACATCCCTAATGCCCCCTAGCACCTGCTTGAGCGATACTCAATTTTCAACACTTAAAAGTCCTGGAATCAATGATCCCGAACCGAAGGACAAGGAAAATATAAGGACATTGAAGTGAAGTATGGGGCAACTTTTTACGGCAGCCACATAGCACTATAAATATCTGAAAAAAGTGATCCCTCGGAAGCATTTAAAAAGAGACGGTTTACATAGGTGGCTATGTAAAGGTAGTAGTATAGTATACATAGAGAAACAAAATTTACTCATATTCTGGCTAAGAAATCCCTTAAAAGGTATGGTGAAGCCCCTTTTTTGTTACCTGTGTCCGAACATTTACGCATATCTAACATGTTTATAATTTCATCTATGCGTTCCAACTTTTCAGCACGTGATATATGCTCCGGTAACCGTATCAAAGCCGTAAACTGAAACAAAATTTGACGTCAATATAAATAACAATAATCATAAAGCCACTTTAAGCCAGTATATGTCAACAGGCTTAACATAGCCACTAAACGTTTTATATCTATCAAAAAAAGATACTGACAACGATTTAAAATGACCCCATCGCATTTAGCATGAACCATAAAAAATGTTGTTGTTTTTGATATCGGTCGGTGTCTGAAATATCAAAATACAAAATAAAGTAATAACCCCGTCAGTATTTGGTATAAAAAAATAAAGTAAACTGAATATACAAATATAGGATAATTTCACACAGTTATTTTTTCATTCTAAAATGATATGGTGTAAAATGAACCATTCATTTCGGAGTAAGTATTACCCGCGTAAAAGAACAAAGAAAATCATTCACCTGACCAAATGCAATAGGTAACAAATACAGTGCTTTAATGAAATACAACCCCATAATGTTAGGCTTGATATGAAATATACCTTGTAAAACTATGTTAACCTCGCAAAAAATCTATCATAAAAACAAACAATCAACAAGAACTTACAAAGAGCTTTACACGAGTCTCCAGAAAAAAATCAGCAATAATGTGTGACCTGACACTGCTTATATAAATGGTTACCCACAAATTATGTCCCTTGACTTTACTTTTCCAGTTATAAAATGGTTGTGAAACAACTTACGTAAAGTGTTTCCCACAACGTTAGGCGAGAAAAGAACACATCTTGCTGCAAAACGAACCCAAGTCGGCGTCTCAATTGTTTGTCAAATGATTTGCCCGACAGAGTTATCTTCCCTGACGACAATGATTGTCTCCCTGCTATAGCATTGAGCAAGGTTGTCTTTCCGGCACCTACAAAGATTATTAGTAGTCTACACAACTGTGGCTTTCCATATTAAGGATAATGATAAAACGTGTAAGATTTATTGAGCATAAGTGCATATACCACCAGGTCCCACTTTTTCATTTGGGTGAGTTATCACAAATGTCAAACACCCACATGGCAAGCGGACTGCTTGCTATTAAACAAAAGTGCTAGTCGCATTGATTTGACCTAAAATATGTTTGATCTTGTTATTCGTGTAATATAATATCAATATATTAAAAAAAAATTAAAATAGTATTTTTGTTATATTGTTATAACAATATCACAAAAATCAGTTATATTGTTATAACAATATCACAAAAATCAAGTTTTTTTTTTTTCTTTTTTGTTTTTTTTAGTTTTTTTTTTAATATATTGATATTATATTACATGTACATGAATAACAGGATTAAACATTTTTAGGTCAAATCAATGGGACTGGCACCTTCGCTATTAAATAAAAGAAAAAAACACTCTTTTGTATAAACGTAGTTGTGGTTGTTGTTGTTTTTGTTTTATATGGGTTACTTATGTTTCTTTAAGAAATCAACCAATTGAGCTCTTATTCAATAAGAAATGAGCCTACATGTATATGACTTATTCATTTGAAAACGTGCAGAAAATGGCTTTTCATCGTATAAACTATGGGTTAGTATGACTTCGAAATAATAGTAGCAAGCCAATATGAGTCTTATTCATTTAAGTTACAGTCCAATATTACTCTTATTCATTTAAGTAAAAAGCCAGTATGACTATTATTCATTTAAGTAACAAGCCAATATTACTCTTTATCATTTACGTAACAAGCCAATAAAGCTTTTAATCATTTAAGTAAAAAGGCAATATGACTCTTATTCATTTAAGTTACAGGCCAATATTACTCTTATTCATTTAAGTTACAGGCCAATATTACTCTTATTCATTTAAGTTACAGGCCAATATTACTCTTATTCATTTAAGTTACAGGCCAATATTACTCTTATTCATTTAAGTTACAAGCCAATATTACTCTTATTCATTTAAGTTACAGGCCAATATTACTCTTATTCATTTAAGTAAAAAGCCAGTATCACTATTATTTATGTAACAAGTTAATATTACTCTTATTCTTTTAAGTAACGAGCCAATACCACTATTTTTCTTTAAGTGACGAGTGTTTTATATTCAGAATTAAACATATTCAAAAAAGAGAAAATTGTTGATTTTTATTCATAAGGAAAAAAAAAACACAAAAAAACATCATTCTTGTGTCAGAATATAAACTTCCGCGTGAAAGCAAAATATACCCATCATATAAAATAGTATATTTCAATAATTTATTTGCACTTTGATTGTTCTGACATATAAAACAGTTATATGATGACAAAGTGTGATTTTATTGGTGTTTTGTGTGACAGGAAAATTTATTACTAGGTGGGTGAGTGACACTCAGTTCAAGGTCAAAAAAATATAGATCTATATAAAAGTAACTTCTTCCGACAACATAATTTGATATTATGCATATTGTAAACCTAGTCCCACCCAACGGGGAAACTTATCCCGTTTGGGGAAAATAGGCCGACTGTTTACTTTTCGTCTGAACCCACACTGACGGGCCAATGCGATGGCCAAAAGAAATAGTTTTTTATATATATATAATCATGATAGCTTAATTATACAATTAAATTTTGAAAAGATTATTCTTATATACGATAGTATAATTATGCATGCATCATGATGGCTCTAATATAGAATATATTTGTATGGGTATAGGTATCACCCAATGTACAATATAGTATTATCAACATATGATATTACTACTAGACAAACGTTTTATACACGATGGCTCTGTGCGATAGCTTTCATACCTTTTTAGTGGCTGATCATCTTAAAATATATATGTCGGCTGCTCATCTTTAAATATATATGTAAACTATATGTTCTAATACAGCCATTTTGTTATTAAAAATTATAAGTACATTATAATATAGTAATGCTATTATTTTTATTTCTCAAAGGCTTTTTAATTTTGGCGATAGTTTCTTTTTTGGACATCTGCTGCATCTGTTGCTTTTTGGCAAAAAAGATCGATCAAAGTGAATTGGTTTTTCATATGAAAGTCAGAATACTACTTTGTTTACATTATAAAAGATGGTTCAGATAATTGGCCAATGAGTAACTTTTTAGAAAACATAAAAATATAGACCAAAAATAAAAAAGGTTTAAGAGCATTTTTGAGGCGTAAACAATAAATATAAAACTGGTTGCTTACTCAGAAAAAAACATTTTTTAAACTCTTTAGAAAGGTCAAACATGTTTTAATGATGGGTTTAGAGCATGTTACATGTTTAACAACTGACGAAATTCGTGCTGAATGTGTAGTTATGTGTCGTAAAGGTAGCAAAACGTAAACAAAGTGGTATTTTGATTTCCATACAAAATATTTTTCACTATAATTATACCAATTGCCAACAGGGCAATTGAAGCAAAAATAGTTCATCTATATAAGTTTTTGGAAACGGTGACAATATATCAAAAATAATAAGTTTTTGAGAAATAAAAATGATAGCATTCCTGAGGCATAATGTGCCTTTAATGCGTTTTTGCTGTATATTAACTTATATTTTATGTATTTCAATATAAAATACCTGAAGGCCCCATGATGGCAAGAAAATCTCCACTGCATGATGAAAACGAGATGTTGTTAAGAATTTGCGTCGTATCTGCTGCCACAGAGACGTCATCAATACGTAACACCGTATCCAAGGCAACTGTTTTCATCCTGAAATAACAAAAAGGGGAAAGGGTTAATGAATTTACTTTGAATGCGTTTCTTTCAATAACAGCTATATTTTCTTTATAACTTTTATTTTATTTTATTACTTTTTCATTAAAACATGAGAAAAGTGGGGCTTTTTATTTTTTTGTTTTTCATCTATTTGAAATAATTTTTAATTCCAAATGCATGCATTTATATCATTTGGCGGGTTACGCTCGTGAATATATTTAGAAATGTTAACTTCTTCGTGTTTACTAATATTAGAGGTATCTTTTTATACCATTTCAATTATTTCCGTATTCGTTGGCCGGTATATTAGATTCGTTTTTCACAAGCATTATGTAAGCCACCACAGACTGAGAGCAGACCAAGTTATTGTAGGTATACCATGTTTGCCATACGACACAGGCAGCGTGCCAGATTTATGGAAATAATGTCATGTGTTGCTTTGACTGTGCAGAGAGTAGGCGATTTATATTTACCATATTGGCATACAGCATACCGGATTTATATAAATTTATACCATATATGGCTTAAATTGTGCAGAGCATAGAACAGGCGGTTTATCAATTTTGCCATGCTTGGCATTCGTACACCGTACCGATTTTATGGAAATTATAGCATGTGTGGCTTACATTGTGCATGCAGAGACCAGGCTAGATTAGTGAAGGTATACCATGACGCAGACGGCGTGCCATATTTGTAAAATGTCTGATTGACTACAAAGAGAGCAAGCCAGATTACAAGATGTAGCATTTCTGGGTTATAAGTAGATCGACAAAAGCTTTAATTGAGCCGCCTCTCAACAAAACCATTATAATGGATTTGCGACCAGCATGGATCCAGACCAGCCTGCGCATCCGCGCAGTCTGATCAGGATACATGCTGTTCGCTATCAGTTTCTCTACTTGTAATAGGGTTTGTAAGCGAACAGCATGGATCCTGATCAGACTGCGCGGATGCGCAGGCTGGTCTGGATCCATGCTGGTCGCAAACCCATTATGTTGGTTTTGTCGTGACACGGCTCAATTAATGAAAATAATCAACAATGATTTTACTTTAGAAACTTGTCACCGAAGTTATAAAGAAAAACAGAAATATTGGTTTCTTCCTCTCTCGCTTTAATTAATGATTTGTTTTCTCTCAAGTGTTGAGACAATATTGTTTAAACGTACAAACAAGCAGAATTTTGACAAAAATGCAATAATGATAATTTAATACAGACCCTAATAATTTGTTTTGATGAAACATGCTTAATCAGTATCTAGATAAGAAAAAAAAGTATTAAATTTAAAAAAAAAAATAGAAAAAGGCACAGTACCTTGGTGAAAACATGACTTGTTGTCCTTCTTTTAAAAATGCCATAGTCAAGCGAGCATGCTTTTTACAACGTGACTTCAGATATGCAGTTGCATTCAATGGTCAAAATAATGAAAAGATTAACCGATCACGTTTGTATTGGCTTAAATATGTGTTATAATGACGAGCGTGCGGTTAAAGAATTATTTTTACCGTAATGCATCAGACCGTAAAACTGACCACGACCAAACCAAGCGTTTTATCACCTCATGGTGTCCGATTGCTTGATGGCTTGTGAATGCTTTTTGTATAGTTGTAGTAAAAAGGCCATCGATACTCTCTAAGATTTATTGTTTTGTTTATGTGTTTGTCTTTTTTTGTAAACGATATAAACTCCACAGTTTATAAAATTGCAGAATGAACAGAACAAGTATCTTTATTTCTTCCCAAGGTACAATGCAATACAACATGGGGATATACTATAAACAGATACAATTTGATAATAAACAAACTTCCGGTAGCAATTTATCAGCCGATGAATAGTATTTTGATTTAATTAAAATAGCATGAGATTCAATGACATTTGAAGATAAAGATGTTAATTTTGGGGGGAATCCTTTAACACACAATATTCATCTGATGATACATTTCTCTAAGTATATATCTTGGAAAAGAAACTTTAAAGTTAATGTGTATATCATATTACTTTCAAATCATTACTATGTTATTGTATGTTAAAAAAAGGAAATGAACATTGGCGCACTAGAGTGTCTCCATTGACATTTTTATGCTAGTTATTCTTTGAAAATAACATTTAAATGTACAGTGATACATAAACACTTGCATTTGAATAATATCTTATACATAAAACAAAAATTTTAATATGATCAGCAAGCTATATATAGAGACGCAAATGTTTTAATATTGTGTTTTATGAGGTTTTATATATCGTTAAGTACAATACGTAATTATACTGATGTCAAACTCATATTGGACCACAGGTTATTGGCGTGGGACCAAGCCCTACCCCCCCCCCCCCCCCCTTCAAGAGTACCGACAGCAGGACCCGTCAATACAAAATCAAACAATTATAACAAAAATATATTTGATATTATAAACTCCATATGTGATATGAAAGGCCCTGATTTAAATAAAAGGCAAAAATGTTCAAGATAATTATTTAAATTCACCATAACATCCTACGAAGAATGAGCATGCGCGAAATGCTACTTCCGTTTCTATGGAAATATCGTAGTGTAAAAAGGTCTATAAGAATTTATAAGGATATGCTCGAATATTTTATATAAACTTTGTAAGAGGCTCTTAAATTGGAGTCGACAAAAAGACATTTTTGAGAAATAAAAGTGAAAACTATTGTTTGTATGATGCAAGATACATAAATTGACAAATATGAAATGTATTCATTGCAGCTGTGTGATTTTAGGTTGATGTAATATATTGACTCGCTATTGGTCAGCTAGTATTAGCCACTAGCTGATAAGCCCCGCCTAAATTCACCTGGCATCACCTCTATGTAGTATCATTAGTAAATAGATTTAGTAACCAGACGGCTGCGTTGTTTAATCTCTCTACCCATGCTTGTCCAGTAACTATGTTATAGCAGACATTACAGTTTCTGTGAAAGGTTTCAGCTGGCTGTATTGGCCTAAAAGCTTCGAAAACTGTGTACGGATTAAGACTTACTTTTGTCAAATTTCATTTACTCACACTATACATTTTAAACGTTATATTGGATTGAATTAATCGTTTAACATACTTTTACCTAAATGTACGTAATTCTCGAAAATGATAATTATCACAAATCTGATGCCAACCAGTGAAGATATGACACTTATATTTTTTTACCTTTCCGCCTTCTTTGTTTGATATAAAAATGATTGGTAATTTTTCTTAATGGCAAACGACGAGATATTTTGCAAATATGTGAACAAGTATACAAATATACTCAGTCGCTAGGCTGGCATAAATTCTAAGGTATGTATAGACTTTTCAACATAGTTTTAGTTTTGAAGAATAGTTAACATGTACTCATCATAAGTATCTTAAATTTTAAGATATTGTAAAATGTAAAAAAAATCACCGGAAGTTGAGGCAGAGTCCCATACAACGAAAGAACATGTAAATTATGTAACTTAAATATCGGCGATGAATACCATTACACACTTGAATGTTCTGTGTTGAAAAGTTCCAGAAGAAAATGTGTTCAAGCGGATATCTACAACAACAACAACATAAACGTTTATTCATGCATGTCAGGCTCATATACAGAACGACGACAGACAATAAAGTTATAAACAATTTATTGGTAATTACATGGGGACAGTGATGAAACATCTAACTGTACTCATACAAACTAGAACAAAATAATGTAAGACAATATATACCTTGACAAAGTTAACCTACATACATTGTAATATTGTTTACTATGATTGATAGAACTTTAATTATGAATTGAATCATTTCCGCATAAGTCTATATTTAGCCCAAATAATTTTTAATATACAAAAACTGAAATAAAAACCGTATATACGCGGTTTATCTATATGCAAAAGATACTATTTATTTACCCCAACCCCAACAACCGAAAAATAAATACATAAATAAATAAATAATGAATAAATAAATGAATAAATAAATAAATACTGAAATATTTAAAAAGTTATTGGGAAAATATCTGGACTGTCCTTCACAAAGTACCATGTGGTGTAGACACCGTGAATTACATACAATGACATGTATGTGTCGGAGAATGCATTAAAATTTGTACAAGCTGTATTTTTTTCTTTTAAAGGCATTTTCTACAGTAGGCAGAATGAAACTGTAAACATACAACAGAGGTTACTCAATCTTGGCATGATTTAAGAATATGAAAAATCAACAGAAACATTTCATATAATTATATTCAGGGATCACCAAGCATTTTCTGCCCTTGAAACTGTAAATATGTACCTTATTTAAATGGTATGTAATTCACAATCAAAGCCATCAAACCCTATTTTACTGCTTTTTATGTAGCTGATTTCCTTTTGACGCTTTTTTGTTATTTTATTTATTTATTTATTTATTTATTCAATTTTAAGATTTGATACAGAGTAGATTGATTATTTTGATCTATTTACCATTGCACTTTTTTTATATAAATGACCTGCTTTTTATAACAAAATTTAGGGTTTATGGAGAACGAAATGCATTTGATATAAATATTTTGGACTCTGGAAATGATAACGAGGCTAAATGGGGTACGATATGCATTTGATATAGATATTTCGGATTATGAAAACGAAGCTTTATGGGTACGATAAGTATTTGATATGGATTGTGTTGGAGTCTGGAAATGAAAAACGATGCTTAATTGATAAGATTGGAACCGATGATGATTTCTTTTGGAACATCACGTGATTTAAATCGTAAAAGTTCATTGGTTAAATTTTATAAGGTGTGAATTAAAATATGATATTGTACAAGTACCCTTATTACTGCAACATGTTGAATCTTTATGGTGGATGATATGAAATTTTATTTTAAATTATTCAGGTATCTCCATGATAGTACAAGGGGATGACAATACTTAGGAGCCGATGACCAGGAAATAAGTTTCATTAAGGGGAAGTAAATGCTAAAAACATTTGATGTTAAATTACATTAGTTACTCCCCTTCTTTTGTCATGGAAACTTTGTGGATTATATATTAGCAAGCACAAACAGAAATTCCCCATTATGAAACAAAATGTAGTGTATTTAAAACTTATCATTATATAAATAGGTAAATCTGGACAAATTCTTGAGCATTATTTTCAAATATTCAAATATTTTTAAAATAATGTCCTGTCTCATTAAACATTCTAATATTTCACAAACCATTATTTTTTCAGTTATATATGGTTATATATGCTCATGTCATACATGTATCATATATTGTATCTGTATTTGTAATTATTTGTAATTGTTATGACTAAAACAATAATAAAATTCCTGTTCTGTTCTGTTTTGTTATTTTCTGTTCTATTAATTGGAAAGAAAACATACAAAACATTCTAAGACTATTTATTTGTGTTACACAAACCAAATCACAAACATAAATGATCTTACATTTAAAAGAGAATAGCTATTTCTCTTAAAAGTAGTAATTATTTTGTTTTTATGTTTGGCGAGAAAAAAAAACTAGAAAACATTACATACATTACTTACTTTTGGCAATGAATACAACACAAATATGATATTATATAGCAGAGACTTTTATAAATAACCGAAATGAAATAAAACTCTGTGATTATAGTGGAAGATTAAAAATGTATAATTACTATAATTATTACAATAATTACTATGTCAAGAACAGGAAAATACTTTACTTCAGGGAATAAGATAATCTTGAAGGCGGCGAAATAGTCCAAAAGAGGGCCTAGATAAAGATAGACCTACCATAACTTTTTTAAAGCATTTAAATCATAATTATACAGTTATATAAATTTGGTAGATCACAACATATCGTTTTGTAAGTTAAAAAAGAACAGCTTTTCAAATGCACCAATAAAATAAAGTCAAACAAAATCACAGAAAATGCTTGGTATTTACTTCGACGAAAGCTTAGAATCAGAGACATAGATAACATCTCTGTTAGACTGGAATCTAGAAAAAATGCATGCCTGCGTAGTCAATTACAAAACAAATTTCTCCCTAAAAACGTATACCGTATAATTTTCAGCTGAAATTTCAAAAAACAATGTTTTACAACGCATATATCTCATCTTGTTTGGGTTAAATTGATGCATTAAATTGAGAACTTGTAACAAAAGTAAATTGGAAAAGGTGAATAAATTATAGAAACGTGCAAAGATTATATTACGCACTTTATTATAACTTCTAAAACAATTAATTACAAGATACTGGGACAATACATAGATATTTATTTTAGCTTTGCAAGCTAACCATGCTTAAACAATGTAATGGTATAGGTCTGTGTATTTTCTTTAAAAAAAGTATATGAATAAACAATTCTTTGGAAGGTATACTTTTAGTGTAGACAAACAAGCAATCCGTACAGTCACCATACATCACATCAATATAATGCAGTACATATTTTATAAAAGTACAATAAAATAGTGATAATACATGTATCAACTTAATATTGTTATGTTGTTCATATACTTCTTATTAAACATTGTAAAAAAAATCTGAAAAAAAATCTTATTTTTCACTAAATGTTCAATCATG